CAAAACCTAAACCCTAAATATAAGCCACATGATTCATTCGATTCTATTCACCATTATCCTGTATTAGTAGACAAGTTAAACTAGTACTGGAAACGGAGACGACCCAGGGGGCATATGAATCTATTTAGTATTTATTTATTTCCTGCAATACAGTATCGACCAACCACAGCGACGGCATGCACGCAATAGTTAGCCACAATGAAGAGGGGTTATAACAACAACAACAACAACAATAGGTCATCAGGCAATAATAAGAAGCGCAAACGCCGAGAAAAGCTGGAGCAGTATGGCGTGGATTTGCCCGACATTCCTGGTGTCCCTGCCGAAGTGATTCCTCTTTTCGTCCATGCCATCAAGGTGTCGACCAAATTCTTTCAACATGAATCTTTAATGCCCTACACTAGTACTAATAATAGTGAGGAAGAAGAAGAACAATCGAGTGAAGAGCAAGAGCAAGATGGAATTACTACTTCTAGTGGTAGTAGAAGTGCACTGGATCAAGTACTGAATCGCATGGACGCATCGACCCAAGAGAATTCCGAGACACGTCAACAACACAAGGAACGAAAATTGAAAATGAGAGATGCCGTTCAGTCCTGGCTGGCAGCTGTCAAGCGCAATGTCAGAACTGCACCACCACCTACTACTACTGCTACTAGTCAAGAAGACGCGACTGCACAGAATCAGTATCAGCAGCAGCAGCAACGACGATCGGTTCCACTGTCTTGTTTCGAGTACTTGTGGACCATAGGCCACGAACACCCGCGTTTGGCCGTACGACGCGCCGTACTGTACATGAAGCGTCTCTTGTTGACCAAGAGTTCCGACTGTCGTCGCTTTTTTCTCGAGGAACAAACCCATTTGTGGCAATGGGTTCAAATGATCGTAACAACCAATGGTACTGAGGCAAAGCCATTTGATCCGACCAAACGACTGCTGTGGCAACGAGAAGGACATGCACTCTTGCTGCAATTGATTCAAGCTCAATACGATGCCTTGTATCCAAAATTGATTGTATCCGAACAGTACTTACGGCAGGCTTGTATGATTCTGCCAAATGAAGCACAAGAACAGCCCTCTTTCGTACAGGGGCAGGACGATCAGGCCGTTATTACCAACATGCACAGTCTCCGAAAACTACGCGACATTGCCATGGCACATGGACCGGAAGAAATCCAACGAGTCCAAAAACTCATTCGTCGATCACATCAAGCCACGGACATTTTGGTGCCCCGATTTGGAATGGAAGAAGATGACAAAGGCGCCACTACGGAGGAACCTGTGACTGACCATCCGAACAACGCTGTTCCAACGGTGCAAGAACCATCCAAAATGGTTTCCATGCTCGGTGGAGATGACGACAATAATGATGATGACGAAGAGGAAGATGACGACATTGCTTGGGAAGAGGGGTGGGACGAGGACAATGCCAACGACGACGACCGGCCAACCAATGACAACAATGAGGAACCCGAAGAAACGCATGCCCAAGCGGTCGAACGAACCCTCCAAGCCATGGCGGCCATGGGCGGTGGTCTACGAAACACGGGAGCATTGCAAATCCAGTTTGATGGCAGCGCATCTGGTGTTGCTGGTCCGACTACTACGACTACGACTACGACTACTATCGACAACGCCGCGGCATCCCAGAAATTGACACAATACGCACGGTTCTTGGCCGATCGTCATTGGCCCCGCATCACGGCATGGATCGAAGGATTGACCAAAGCCGATCGATTGCAAAAGAACAGGTCCAAAAACAACAAGGCGCTCCTACTCATGTCACCGCAACAAGGACATGCCCGAAACGAGTTGCGACAACAATTGATTCATGCCAATGCGCAAATCAAGACAGTCTTGGAATCGGCGGCTCGATTGGGGTTGTTTGTCGTCGGGAAAGAACGAGAGCAGGAGGGTGGAACCAAGTAACAACAGTATCTGCAGGTTTCGTCTATGGATCGTGCTATTGCCAACGTAGCATACACACGACAACGAATCGAAAGAATCCACCCTCTGTACCGGTAGGCCCGTACCGCATTTCAGTCTGTACGCTGGCTCAATATATATCTAGCTAGTAAGCTGTACCGGTAGTGACAATGGCTATTATATTGCTCCGTACAGGCAAAGCCCGCATCCACTTCGTGGCAAAGATTGATCCGATCCTAGCTTGAGGCCACAGCAACTGGCCGGACCTGGCTAGCTACCGTAGCCATGCGCAGCCTCAGCCTCTGCATACCTATAGATGGATTTGACTCTCGTGGCTGCCCCAGTTTTCAGAAATCGGTCCTCTCCATTCAAAACCTCACTCTTCGACGTGGAGAAGATCAAAGCGTTCGAGCTTCAGTCAGATGCCCCATTCGTTCTTAGAGAAGAGACTAGCTAGAGATGAGACGACCATGACAACACTCGGGCAAGCCAATGGCAACAATTGAGTCTCTAAAAGTACTCATTTCAGCGACTTCTGGCTGTTCTGCTTCAACGCTAGCACTGCTGTCACTCACCTCTCTATTGCCATCTGGTACACTAACAGTTGGTGCACCTCTACTCTATTATACCGGTTCGGTACGAACAACATGCACGTGCCGGCCATGTGAGTATCCCCCCTTGTCATGGTGGGCTGACTGTTTGCCACCGTGCCCACCAATTAAGACGATGGCTTTGTGCTCTTTCAGCATCGTCTTCTTACCAGATTGCTTCTCCTCTTCAGTGTAGCCCCGTTCCTCCAGTTCTGTTTTCAAATTTAGGGATGTTTTGGTTACCGATGATCATGCAAGCAGAGATCGATGTTTCCTGCCACAGATGCAGTCTGGTAACCACCAGTGGTTGCTTGTATCTGATTGGTCCTTGAGTTGCTGTGCATGGTTGTTACGAGAGCAGGAGAGTTGAACCAAGTAACAGCATCTACACGTTTGCTTCTATGGATAATAGTGCTATTGCCAACGTATCAAACACAAAACGACAAGGAATCGAATCCTCACTCCGAGTCTGTAGGTCAGTGCCGTATGGGCGCGTTTCAGTCTGTACGCTGCCTCCCTATCTGTATAGTGACAATGGCTTTACGTATGTACCAGTGTTCATCCAGTCTACAAGTATTGCTCCCCACCACAAGCAAAGCCCACATCAAACTAAAGTAGTGGCAAAGACTGATTCATACACCCTGTGCGGTTTGATCATAGTCCTGGATCTTCAAGTTGGCACCGTTGATATCATTGATCTCAATAGCAAGCAAGAGTGCACGTACACACGCCCTTTCTATTGCTTCCATATTGCACCTTTCTATTGCAAGGGTGGCAGTTTTCTTGTGCCCCGCAGAAGGTGTTGATGCTGCTGATTGGGTTGCTGATACTACACCAAGTGCTCCGTCTACCGGTAGGCTGATGCTACAAGCCACCAGAAGATATCTGCCCCTCTGCGGTCCGCACCTCGGTGGCAAAATTCTGCACCGGTGCCTCTTTGCCCGCACCTTGGCGGCAAAAACTCTCCACCTCTTTTGCATCTTTGCTCCGCACCTCGGTCCCAAAAAATTGCACCTGGCCGCACCTCGGTTGCAAAATCCTTGCAGCACCCTTCAGAAAAGCCAATTTCATCATCGCTTTCAGGAGTCCAATTGGTCTAGTGGCATGATTCATCTTTAGGGTGGATGAGGTCCCGTAAGTAACGATTGACTGCAGCATGATGAATCTGTGAAAGGATCAAACACTAATAGAAAGCTATTCACGAAATACAGGAGTTCGATTCTCGGATTGGACCGAAATACTTTTTGCTTTTTCGAGACACAAATAATCGATTCTCGGATTGGACCCTCTTTTTGCTCTGTTGACCACCTCAAATCAGGTTGAAAAGTTTTGGTAAGAATGATGCCTGGAAGGGAAGTTTTGGTACCTCCCATCCATTTTCCTGCTCCCAGCAAACCCTCCCCCCCCCCCGAATGATCATCAATTTATCGTCGTTGATCCCACAGAACCCAGTCCTAAATTTCGACTCTTCTTTGCTTTTAAGCCTGTTCCTCAATCCACGCACTCTAATCCCCGTGATTGCCCTTGGTTAAATCCACTTGTCTCTGTCTCCATGGACTTCCTGCAAAGCCATGCCCTTTGGCCCCCATGTTGGTCCCCAGATTGTTGCCCCTAATCCCATGGAACCTGGTCCCAAACTCCACCTCTTCTTTGCCTCAGCCCGGCCCCCACCGGATTCGATAGATAACTTCCTGCAGCCCTCTAGCTAGCTACACCCTTGAACATTGTTGGGTGGGTGGTAAGACTCCTTTAAAATAAGCCACATATCCGGCGCCGAGCCGAAGATCGAAAGATCAAGATGTTGCCACCTGAGGAAACGAACTCACTGTCTGCCTCTTCAGAGTTGGGAGAAAATATTCTTTATAAGCTTTGGCTCTGATTGACTCTGTGCAGATTCTTCCCTTGCTCCTACTCCCTCTGATTCCGTCGTCCAAGACCGAGGCGATCTCCTGGTTTGCGGTTTCTCGCATTGAGGTACCGATTGTATCTTTGATGTCTCCCTCGTGGTTGTCGAGTCTCCTGGTATTCGCGAACCGCGGTGTCACTGCGCAGGCCCTTGCTCACCGGGAGAGGGTGAAGAAGAGGAAGTACATGATGTACCAGGCTCAGTGCACTGCACAACTCTGTCACTTCACCCCCTTTGTTGTTTCTGCTGATGGCCTCTTTGCTGCCAAAGCTACTGCTGTTCTCCAACGGCTTTCCCAGCTTTTGGCTCACAAGTGGTCCAAGCCCTACTCTGTGGTCCGGTCTTTCATCTCTGCCAGGTTGAGCATAGCGCTCTCTAGAGCCGCAACCAGTAACCACTCCTTTTTTCTTTAGAAGCTTGCAGCACCAAAGGTCACAGGCAACCCAGCAAGGGACAACTCACTGGCAATACTCCATGAACGCCACACGAAATCGGGACGCAATCTCTTCCTGGGTGCCTGCTTCACAACTTAGCATTGATGCAGTCTTCAGCATAAATGGGGGGCTGGAGTATGCGACTAGTCCGGCTCCGCCTGCTTCATGTCTTCCTCGATGACGCTGAACTCCGACAAACCAGTCTGCCTCCCGCATTGGTTCCCTGGCTCGCACTCCCTTCCGTGCCCTAGGCCGAGTGCTGCCGTGTCCTCAGAACTACCAGGCATAGCTAAATGCCATACTTGGCCCACTAGCTAGTGGATGTACGGGGGGAAATCTTTATAACGGATATATGGTGGTGTCAATGGGCAAGCACTCCTGCTCTGCGGCCGAAATTGCGTTCCTGTTCTTTTCCGGCAGGTCGTAGAAACAATGCAATCAAACGATGGTATTCTCTGCATGATGCGTACGAAAAACTCCTCAGTCATCCCGATGTGGTACAGAAATCGCGCATGAAGATTGTAAAACTCAAGCTTTCTATACAAGTATATAATATGAAAGGCTCTTGCCTTACATGGTTCCTTCTCCACGAGCCTTGGCGGATCGATCCTTGGTCCAGGAAGTGCCACCCACCGAACTAATACAAGGCGCCTGTTGCAAGTACGGAAAGTCTGGCATGGTGACGGCATCCAGGCAAAATTCGGCCACATCGGCACGGGTAATGCTTCCGGCTTCACCGTCAATGACATTGATAATTCCCGTGGGTGGTTCCACAGTCAATCCACCCGGTCGCACAATGCAATAATCCAAGCCACTTGCTTGCGTGACCTTTTCTTGATTGTTCTTGTCGACAAAAATCTTTTTCATGACGGTCATCATGAGCATTTTGAACATGAAGGGTGCCTGACTTTCGGAATCTCCGGCCCCAATCGATGTGACGACGGCCATTCGTTTGATTCCCTTGTCTTTCATGGCGGCAATGACGTTGGAAGTCCCGTCGGTCAACATGGATTCTCCCACGTCTGCCGTCTTTCCACCCAGTGCAATAATGACGCCTTCAATGTCATCGGCCGCCTCAAATACCTTGGCGACATCTTCCTTTTTGGTCACATCACCACCAATCACTGTCAGTTTGTCATTCACCAATGGTTGGCCTGCCTTGGCGCCACCGGATCCTTGTGGAATCACCACATTAGCAGGGTTTCTGCACGAACGGTGTATTATTGAGTAGTATAAGGGATCGGTAGCCATGCAATAGAAAAAGGGTCAGATTTTCAATTTTTACAGGATGATACCCTCTCCATTGCAAATAAATAAATTTTGACTCATTTTCTTTTTCGTTTTTTGCGTACCTTGTAAGTCCGACCACATCGTATCCCTGTTCGAGTGCTCGGTAGACACATTCTTGTGCAGTCAATCCAGAGGCACCAATTACGGCAATGGTGCTCATGCACAAACTACTACTGCTGCTGCTTCCAACGCGCGTGGGCAGTGCCGATTGAAAGGCATTGGCGCTAAGCAATGTGGTCAGTAAGAGAGCTACTCGGAACATCATGGTCTTTGAATCTAGACTACTGTTGGATGGTGTTAGGTTTTCTGTGTTGTTGTACGGTAGATATTATGGCACAAGGCATCCGCAATCAACCTGAAAGAACGGGCAACCTACAAGCTGAGTGGATCTTTGCTGAGTGGATCTTGAGGAAAAAGATATCTGACGTGTTCCTCCACGGGATATTCTTAGGGTTTTTAACGAGCGGTTCTCAAAGCCAGCAGGCTGCCGTGCATTGGACGTCGAAATTGGCCTGTCCAACTTTGGTTGTCCAACTTTGTGAGGCAAGCTCCCATTGAAGCGCTTACTCGATCGATCATCACAAATCATTAATTGTGGACACCTATTGGAATGCATGCATCATGACTAACTTCGAAGAAGAGGTCGGAGGATCGTCCAGATAACATTTGGGATCTGTGGCATGTTCTCCTGCCTACTGGGAGCGCCAGAAGCAAGCAGCTTCAGACGACGAGTGGAATGGTACTACGGTAGTGGTGGCTGGCCGGGAGCAGAATGCTGATGGATGCACGTCAACCAAGGTGGTGTACAGGTGGATCACTCCTCTGTTTGGATCACTTTGAAAAGGAGCGCCATCATACTTTGCTGTGGCGAGATCCTATTTAGTTTCTCTATTCTAAAGTTATCTCACATGTGCGCTATTATAGTTTGCTGTCGAGCGCGAAGACGTTGCTTCTTTGGTTTCCCCTCTACGCCCCACACCAGCTTGTGGCCATCGTCATCCTTAAGATCATCATCGTCCATGACTATGGCCTCATCCGCAACATCAATCCTCTGGTCTTCTTCTTCTGCTGCTTCCTCATCAACTACCGTGTCATCTGTAAGATTGTCATCGTCCATGCCAATCATCATATCAATCTCGGAAAGGGCACCTCGCAGTTCATTTTCAATCCCGTGGTCCTGTTGCCACCATTGAAGAATGGAATAGGTCAAGCTTCTAGTAGAGCGCCCCTGGCGAAGATTTCGGAAACCACCTCGATCCCCGGGAGGGGGTTGGTTGAGATTAGCAAGGTTCTCTCCATCGGAGGTTGGAGTGTAGGTAGGATAGTAAGTAGGTTCGAGAGTGGTTGGAGTGTCAGTTGGGGTGTAAGTGGGGTAGTAGGTTGGCTCCAGGGTGGTTGGAGTTTCAGTTGGGGTGTAAGTAGGGGAGTATGTGGGCTCCAGGGTGGTTGGAGTTTCAGTTGGAGTGTAAGTGGGATAGTATGTAGGTTCGAGAGTTGTTGGAGTTTCAGTTGGGGTGTAAGTGGGGTAGTAGGTTGGTTCAAGAGTAGTTGGAGTTTCAGTTGGGGTGTAAGTGGGGTAGTAGGTTGGTTCCAGAGTGGTTGGAGTTTCAGTTGGAGTGTAAGTTGGATAATAGGTTGGCTCCAGGGTGGTTGGAGTTTCAGTTGGAGTGTAAGTTGGATAATAGGTTGGCTCAAGGGTGGTTGGAGTTCCAGTTGGAGTGTATGTTGGATAATAGGTCGGCTCTTGCGTTGGCAGATCATCCTTAAAGAAAAGGTCATCATCGGCAGAGATAATGATATCACTTGGACTCGGGGAAGGAGGCCATGTGAGTGCTTTTGTCGGCAGAGAAGTGGGTGCAAATGTTGGAAAGGGTGTTGGGCTTGGTGTTGTTGGTGAGGAGCCGCCGTTACCCATGGTGTACTGTTGTTTTCTTTTAGTTGGTTGAATTGGTTTCGATTCGAAATTGTGGGCTTGTCAAAGAGAGAGGATAGCTTTCACAAAGGAGAGAAATCGTACTGTAGTTGGAATCCCAGCGGGGAGAACAGTCTGTTTCGATAAACCTTGCATGGGAAGGGTTCACACCGCTAAGTGGGAGGTCATTCCTTTAAATCATATATGACAGTCGGAACAATCTTAAATCTTAGTTTTACGGAACCGGTACATGTATGGAAAACGAGTCAAGGAAAATCTACCTTTTTTGGCAACCAGTCTCGGTGCTCACAAGATCTATTAATAAGCAACCTCTAATCACACGAAGTTGCCTTGAACAGAGACCAACCAACCAAGCAAGTAGCGCGTGCACTTTGAAGAGGCTCGCCTACCCGTAAGGCAGAGTAAGTTACTGTGCACTACAGTACGTACCGTAGTTAGCTTACCTGGCGCAAATACCAGACCAGTACATACTTAGCTTCGGCAAGGCGTACCGTACAGTATTGTGCCGCTGCATTTCGTTTCATGCATCTTGCTTATAGCTTTAGTTTTTCGTGACTCGAGCCCTTCGTCGTCACGCTCCTGGTGACTTGGAAACTTGCCATTTCGACAGGATGTCTTTAGGTTTTCGTGTCTTTTGGATCCCTGATAACACTTCCAGTGTTTTTTCGGCTCTCTCAGGATCATCACACTTGAGTGTTTCCCTCTAAGTTTCTTCAAATTCTTCAATATCTTCAGCAGTACAGAAACTATGCTGCTCTGTGTGAACCTCATCGTTCTGTGTGTGAGGACGATATCCAGTGAATTTGATGTCCGTTGCATCTAAGGAGGGGATGTGTTCGGAGGCAAAGTGTTTGGTCTGAATGCCATTCAAAATGTTTCGTCCTTTCATGGTCTCACTAGACTTTTGCTTTTAATGGGGGCTGGACTAGGCGATGGAAATAGAAAAGCCTCGTCAGGCGTCGCCGCAGGTGCATGGCATGTGAAAGGGCCGCAACTCCAATAGAAATGTTTGATACCATCCATCTTAATTCCTGCTGGTCAGTGACCGGGTACAAAGAATGTAACGTCTCTAGCTTGGAGTTGTGGTGTATGCTTTTGTATTTCTTGCAGATCTCACCGCCAAGTAATCCGAGACTACCAAATCTGTTGCAACATCAAACACTTCTCCAGTGTCTATGTATTGAACGATGGTGTTGTCCTTTGGCTTTTCCTTTGTCTTGTGTTGACTGTTGTCTTGGTTTCTGCCATCGTCCTTCCCATTGTGAACAGGTCGTATATGAAACCCCAAGCTCCTCAGTCTCGCAAACAGATCCAAGCAGTTCTGTTCTTGGAGGTGATGCGTGGCAACTTCAAATTTGATGGTTTGTATCTTCCTTCCGAGGTCCACTCCCATTCCTTCCAGTACATTGCATTCATACCCTTGTGCATCCAGTTTGACAAGTGGAATAGTACGAGTGGTGGCTGGTGGGAGCAGAATGGAATCCAATCGTTCCACCGAGATTGGGTACCGATCGCTCCGAATCTGTTGGTCGGGTACATCGCGAATGGCTTTTCCAAGGACGGAATTCCCCATGTTGGTTTCTCCTGTGAAAATCTCCAACACTTGATGGTTCTCCTTTCCCAGTCCGATCGGTACCAGGGTGACTCGGTCTTGTAGTGGTGTTGGGAGTCCCCGGAGCGTCATTTCCAGGGCAAACCGATTCATGGGATGTGGTTCCACGGCCAGAATGTGGGAATCCTCCGTACTGAGTAGCATTTCCAAGACACAGGATCCAATGTTGGCTCCAATATCGACAAAGAGCGGCGGCTGGCGTTGTCTCCAAAAAGTGATCGAGAACCAACGAATGACCTGGTTGGGTTGATTCTCGCGCCACAAGACGGGCAAAAGATCACAATCGGGCCAACGATGCTCTTTGGCAATCACGCCGGAAATGAAATCTGGAAAGGGATGAACACACATCGGAACGGACTTGCCACTGGTCGCCACAAAGGTGGTCCAAACACAAGAGAAATTCCCTCCTGTCGTGACGGTGCGGGTGCCTCCAGGATAGGGTTGATGCCATTGCGGAATATTCCAACTCTTGCCGTGTGTTGGGATCAACCAGCTGGATTTGTTCGGGTCGTCATTGGTATTGTTGGAGGGGGGCAGCGTGGGGAGGAGAAAATAGTCGTCAACTTCTTTCCGACCAAAGATTCGGAACATGATCAGGATAGTCATCAAAGAGACAAAGACCACCCGAAACAACATGGATTGCCGACATCTTGCGCCAACCATGGACGACCCCTTGGTAGTCAGCCTCCTTCTCTCTTTCAGGAATAGCAATCCCCGATGCGATTCTAACCCAAAACCCATGACGACGAGGATCCGATGGGCTTTTATCATGAGTTTGCGACATCTTGGGATCTTTCGACTTTCCGTTTTCGCGGGGCAAAAGACTGATGACTTAGGAACCTAGTCCTGAATTTCGACTGTTCTTTGCTTAAGCCTGGCCCCGGCTGGCTTCCGTAGATAATTTCCCTACTCTAAACCCCTTTTAACCTTAGGACTCGCGACTAGACTCATTCGAGTGCAACCACGGTGTTCGCAAAACAGTTGCGAAATCGGTCACACGGAACTCATGAGGCTCGCAAGGAGAGAAGCCCATCTTAGCAATAATCGAATCAACGATCTGCAGCCTGACATAGAACGGATGGACGCTGCAATAAAAGTCTTGCAATTGATACCAAAAGCCACCAGAGAGCTCTCCACCCAAGCAATCTTATCTGAGAGAGTCGATCGAAAAATTTAAGACATGCTCAACTCTTGAACAAAGCGATTCGATTCTACCCCTTACATCGAGATCGAGCAACATGGCCACAAGCAGTGGTCGTCACAACAGTCGCCGCAGACATTATGAGGAAGATGATGACCATCATGTCATGATGGTATCGGGTCACTCTGAACTAAGCAGTGTGTCCTTCTATACTGATGATCACATGATGGAGGGAGAAATACCCACCTTTTCTCCTTTTTTGGCGACTGGCACACCTTTGGAGGAGGAGGAGGACGAAGAAGAAGGCAATGACAAGGCAGTATTCCACGACGACGATGATAGGAACCATCCTTTCGATGGGGATGATGACATGTACAGCTTTGATGATGACTGCTCTTCCATGGATAGTGCAGAACTGAGAGAGGCGGCTGTTCGTGCTGGATTTTTGGCGGTGTTTTTGGGCTGGATTCAAAATGATCTGCTCCAACTCATGTTCAACTGCTTTGATTTTATACTCAGATGTCTCAAGTGTGTCAAAGGAGGAGATAATGGAGACTCTCCCCAGGAAGAGATTCTTGATCTTGCTATGGATGCTGTTGACGTTAATGATGTGATGATGGCTGATCCGTCTGCAATAACAGCTACCTCTGGGCATACTGCCGGAACTGCTTCGGGAACTGCATCTGCCACTGCTACTACTACTACTACCACAACAACAAATGCAGCTGCTGGTGCTACAGCAACATCCACTACCACAGCCGCTCAACAAACCACTGCCTTTGTGGGCATGCAAATGGCCACCTCAGCGGCCCAAGGAGCTGCGGGGGCAACAGGAGCAGCAACTGCATCGGCAACAGCCACAGCAGCAGCCACTACAACAAGTATTCTGGGAACTGTCAGCAGTGCTGTTGTATCTGCTGGTGCTGCCAGCCAAGTTGGTATGATTCCATTTGAGATTTGTTGGCTGAGATTTCATTCAGGTTATCCCGACTAACAGTTTCTCCCTTTTCAATCAGGTGTGGCAGTAGGCGTGGCAGCTGTAGCCATTGTTTCAACAGGAGTTTCTGTTGTCAACAATGCCAATAAAGAAGTGGCCAATGCCCGTCCCCTTGTTGTCTTGCCAAATTGTTCTGGTGATGCCAGAATGTTTCGGACTGGTTTTGTGGATCTACACATTGAAGGTTTACCTCTTCCCGGCAATTCAACATTATGGCAAGATGTCAAGGAAGAAGTCGAGTTTCTGTTTCAATCCATATACAATAACTTGACTGGGATGTGCCTGGATCCTTTTGATCGGGTTTTGTGGAATGCCACCTTGGAGAATTGGGACACAGTAGCCACATTTGAAGAATACACCAACAAGACAGCACCAGTGGATGCTTCCATCAATGAATTCAGCAACCGCAGCACACATCCCACAACAACCATCACCTACTGGAAAGCAGAAGTCTCCTGCACTGGGTGTCCAGAGTTTGAACCACTCTTTGATCATACAATGATGACCACATCTGTCCATAAAAGAATACTCCAGCATTCTCTTGAGGAGAGTACCAAGAATACTCACAGAAATTCAATGGGGAATCAATCAAAGGCATCCTTACACCCAGTGGGAGTGAACCTGGGCTATGCGGAGTTCTTCCCTGTGTTTGCTGCAACCTTTGGTTTTCATATTGCATCAAGTCTTCAATCTTTCATGCATGATTTAAACAGCACAGATACAAACTCAAACGGCTGGCGGGACAAAATTCGGGTGACACAGGCTGTATCAAAATCTCCAATGCAAGCATCTACAGAAACAAATGGAACAACTGAAGAATTTGTGACTGTTGCAACGCTCGAAGAACATGACATCCAAGAATATGGAGACTTTGTACAAGCATCTGGGGGGAAAGTTATTGCACCTTTCATGGTAGAAGAGCTTGCTGCAATTTCAGATTGCCTTAGAACAAGCAGCAACAATGAATCTTCCAGTTTTTGTGCTAGATTGGATTCCATTGACCAAGAAGAAACCATGAGGTGTTTGGATGGTGATTCATTGTCATCGGCCGAGTGTTCACTGGTCTTGGAAGGCTTGATCACCAACCCCATATATCCATCACAGTCAGATTCAAGTGAGGCACCAGTAGGGGTACCTGCATTTGAAGGAGGGACACAAGAACTGGATTCTGTACGAGAGGCAGAAGTAGAACCTACAACCCAAACCCCACCAGCTCCCCTGAACAGCTCACCACAGCCAACATCAACATCATTAGGGACCTCGGCTACCAGTGTGACACTTGTACCCCAACAATCAGATCAACCATCTGACACTACATTTGTGCCTTCACCTCCCCTCACATTTGAGCCTTCACCTGTTCCAACAGCTGAACCGACCACTGACCAGCCCAATCAGCCTTCTGAAACTGATCCAACACCTGAGCCTACCCTTGACCCATCCATTGAGCCTACGCCTGACCCCACATTTGAGCGGACACCTGACCAAACAGCTGGAGCTACAGTTGTCTCACCCGGGTCTCAGCATAGTGACCAGCCACAAGATCCAACAGTCAGTACCCCTACTACTTCTCCCCAAATTGCCACTGTGTCACTTGTGCTGTCTCCTAAGCCAACTCCCGAACCTGTGGGTACAGCTTCAGCTTTTGCCAACGTATCCATTGTGCTATCACCGCAGCCATCAACCCCCCAACCTGTTGAAGCAGTATCAATTGCAAATGTCTCTATTGTGCTATCACCCCAGCCAACAGAGATAATAGAAGCCCCTACAACTCAGCCACCCACTCTTACCCCAACTAATCAACCACCCACTCAACTTCCTACAACTCTACCACAAACTCTGCCACCCACAACTCTTCCACCAACAAAAGAGGAGTGCAGTTTGCCTTTCACAACCTATGATGAAGTCTATTATTTATCTTTTGAAGGAGACCCCAGCGTGATGCAGGATGACCAAGTGACCTCAGCTTTTGAGACGGCCTATAAAAACTTAGATCCAGCTGTCTGTGACCCACAAATCTTGGATGTGACAGTAGAAGAATGGTACACCAGGCGGCGACTGCAACAAATTAATCCACAGATTGGGCTGCGCATTCAAACTGAACAGACAGCCCCAGGTCTGCCACTTCCAGCAGGAGCAGATTCAATTGTATTTTTGAACAGTATTAATGGAGTGTTCCAAGGTACTGGTGTGGTTGCCGTTGGTTTCAGCAAAACACTCATTACCCGAAACCCAACGAATGCCCCGAGTAAGGTTCCTTCTCAACACCCATCCAGCAGCCCCAGTGAATCTCCTTCCCAACATCCTTCCAGTAATCCTTCCAACTACCCTTCTGATGGATCAACATCTCCCAGATCATCAATCCCCTCATCAATCCCCACTGCCGCACCAGGATATCCCACTGCAGGTCCAGTAACTGAAAATCCATCACAAATTCCTTCCTTGCAGCCTTCTAGCAATCCCTCTTTGGTTCCATCCTCTCTGCCATCGGTGAGCCCCAGTGATTCTCCCTCACTTAAGCCTTCAAGCCTTCCATCCAACAAACCGTCATTCGCCCCCTCATCCAGGCCAACAGGGACACCAGGAGATCCCACTGCCAATCCAATAACTGCAAACCCCTCCAGAATTCCATCTAAAAACCCTTCACTGCAGCCACCTAGCACTCCCTCTTTTGTTCCGACCCCTCGACCATCAGGGAACCCAAGCGACACTCCTTCACTTCAGCCTTCAAGCCATCCTTCCAAGCAACCATCATCTGCCCCCTCATCAATCCCTACAGCATTACCAGGACAACCCACGATCACTCCATCAACTCATATTCCATCCAGCAGCCCTTCTGAAAATCCATCGAGGAACCCATCATCAGAGCCTTCAGAAATACCAACTCTTTTGCCTGCAAACTCACCTTCAGAACCCCCCAGCAACATACCATCACCCAAACCTTCTGGCAGTCCTTCAGACAATCCCACATTATCTCCAACTCATATCCCATCTTCCAGTCCCACAAATAAGCCATCCGGACTTCCATCACTAATTCCGTCAACAAGTCCATCAACCTCTCCGTCGACCACACCATCTAAGATCCCGTCATCCCGCCCCTCAGCAGTGCCATCAAACCTTCCATCTGCAGTCCCATCAATCAATCCATCAGTGTCACCAAGTAGCATTCCGTCCTCTAGTCCCTCTTTGAATCCTTCTTACAACCCCTCAACATCACCATCAACTTCACCTTCTATGAGCCCTTCTGTCACCCCAGGAAAGCCCACTGCTTCTCCATCAAGAACTCCATCTGAGAGTCCAAGTCTAAGTAACACACCAAGCATTACCCCATCCACTGCACCTTCAGCTAACCCATCAACCACGCCAACTTTAAGTTCATCTCCCAGCATGCTACCTTCGAATAGCCCATCTGGGCACCCTTCTGGAAGCCCTAGCAGCAGGCCTTCTGAGATCCCATCCTCCATCCCAAGTAGTGGTCCATCATTATTTCCATCCTTTTTCCCATCAACAGATCCAAGCACTATTCCATCATTGTTGCCATCCACAGTTCCAAGCACTAGTCCATCTGCAAATCCCTCTAAAGTGCCATCGCAAAGTCCATCACAGTTGCCTACCGAAATCCCAAGCTCAAGCCCTGTAGCTGCTCCCTCCACAAGCCCTAGTAGTAGTCCATTTGATGCTCCATCCTCAAACCCAAATGCAGTTCCTAGCCTACAACCAAGCAATTTTCCAGGTGGTTTGCCTAGCATGATGCCTATCAATACCCCAAGCCTCTCTCCCATCACTTCCCCAGCTAGCACACCAAATAGCCCACCTTCTTCATCCCAGGCATGCTTCCCTGATAGGCCAACATTGGACACTGCAATTAGTTCGGGACTGTACAGCCCGCACCCCACCTATGGGGACATTACAAGCTGGTGCTTTGCTCCAACGCTAACAGATTTTTCAAGTCTTTTTAGTGCTGAAACATTGACTCATAACATCAATGGATGGGTGAGATATAATTTGAACTGGCCTTTTCTTGGCACTGTAAACATCTCATGGTTCTGTTCCCTACCTCTGTCTTGGCTGCAGGATGTATCAGTAAGTTAAAGAACGTTCCACTTAGCTACCATTGGCACCCAAGAACATCTGAATTTCTCATATTTTTTGGTCGTACAGAATGTTGTTGACATGTCATACTTGTTTTCGGCTGCTACTTACTCTGGCTCGCTTGAAAGTTGGAATGTTGCGGTATGTCGATAAGAGGGATCCTCACAGGTTGGTTCATTGTGACTTCATTGTTCCTCACGTTGCTGCATTGCATGTCATTGGTTTTCAGAAAGTTACAACGATGGAGGGGATCTTTTATAGCTTGTCTGGTTACAATGAAGACCTCACCAGCTGGAATACTGCTTCTGTTCGAAACATGGAGCAGGCTTTTGCATGGAACTATGTGTTCAATGGAAACCTGAACAACTGGAATGTTGCGGCTGTGACCACATTTCGTAACATGTTTAATGGCGCCACCGACTTTCAACAGGATCTGAACAACTGGGATGTGTCATCTGCCCAAAACATGGGTTATATGTTTGATGGGACTGTAAGTCTAAACCAGGGCTCATTTGTTGCATGGATCGATCACCACCATGTTTTCATCCTTGTTGCTAATCTTTTGTAACAACTAACTGCTTGGAACCCCCAGGTCTACAACTTTGACCTATCCAATTGGAATGTTGCCCGTGTCACTGAAATGGACGGTATGTTCCACCAGAATACTCTACTCAACTCCAACTTTCAAAATTGGGATGTATCCAAAGTGGCGAATTTCGATTTCATGTTTGATGGATGCACACTATTCACTGGAGACATTATTAGTGGATGGGATGTGTCTTCTGCCACATCGATGCAGTTGATGTTCCGAGAGGCCTCCAGTTTTAACCAGGATTTGTGTGCCTGGGGGACACATTTGGGCAGCTCTGTGGATGTTGGTGGTATGTTCTTTGATGCCACATCATGCCCTTCCCAAAGTGACCCAAATCTTTCCGCATCCCCCAAGGGCCCCTTGTGCTATGTTTGTACCCCATGATTTGATTTAAGTTTGTAATAGGGGGCAAAATGCCTCGAGCCCCCCACATACTGTAGATCAAACAGATTTGCTTCTATAAGGTTAAGGCTGAATCTAAAGATACTGTAGATATTTCTGACGTTTGAACCATCACGGGAACGAAGAGGCCATGGCAACAATGTTCCGTCGAATGAGGCATCATCAGATCATCAGCGCACCAGCTGAAGACACCAAAGCAGGCCTATTGAACCTCCACAAGCTTTAGGTGTGGCTAGAGCTAGTCGTCGGCTACCTGGTACCGTATGCAGTGACACCCTTCTTCTTTGATACGCACATCCTGAATCTTTTGGCAACTTGGTTGACAACTCTTCATCTTTTGGAGGCACATTTTTGTTTCTGTCAGCTGATAGCCAGTGTCCGAGTCGAGTGACAGTCCACAATGATGATGGCCCCCGTATTGTCGGTAATACAAATACTAGCAGTATTGCTCCTCTGTCAAGCCGTTTCCGTCACCCAAGCCCTCAGCAGCCCTTCACCCAATAAGCAGAACAGCCCAGTGGGAAAACGATTCCAGTATGGAGGTGGAAGAACGGCAGGGCAGGCCGACATGCCCAACTTGAGCAATGAGGAAGACGACAATGACGAAGCCATTGACCGTTGGCAACCCCAACCACTGCAACCCGACGAAGCCAGACTGACGGTGGTGCAAATCACAGATGTCTACACTCTGGAACATTTTGCCTCCCTCAAGACCATGCTGGCGACGACACGACAACAATTGAAGCAATACAAACAGCAATTGGCAGCATCAGAAGGAGAAGAAGACACATCATCAGAAGAAGAAACTAATGATGATGATGATCAGTACCTAACTGACAAATCCGACGACGGTGTCATTTCCGTCTTGACGGGAGACTTTTTAGCGCCCTACTTGTTGTCGTCGGTCGATCGAGGCAAGGGCATGATGCGTGCTTTGGCGGGGACTCCCGTCGACTATCTCACGTGGGGCAATCACGAAGCCGACATTGATCATCGGACCGTCTGTCGTCATGTTCGTGAGTTCAACGGGAAATGGATCAATTCCAATATGCTCGATCATGAGGCCATGGATGCGCAGCAAGATTATGATGTCGTCGAAATTGAGTCTGCGAATGGCCACCACAAACGACGCATTGGATTGGTGGGAGTATTGAGTGACGATCCCGATCTTTATTCGCATTTCAAACCGCCCGGGGCATTTGGAGGCGCCACCATTACCGATCCTTGGAAGACTTTACAGGAATATCAAACCAAATTAGAAGGTCCAACACACAATTGCGATGTCGTACTGCCGTTGCAGCATTTGTACGTGCCAGACGATCACAAGACATGTCAACAATTCGACTTTCCCGTGGTACTTTCCGGTCACGATCATCATCGAGTGGACGAAATCGTCCATGGCACACGTCTGCTCAAACCGGGGCTGGATGCCATTTATGCCACCGTCTTGGAACTATCGTGGGCGACTGCCGAACAAGTGGCACCCACCGTGAAAGCACGCTTTGTCAAGACGGACGATTGGCCCGCCGATCCGGAATTGGAAGAAATCAACGATCGAGCTTATGATTCACTCGCACCATTGCGTGATACCGAATTGGCCCGTGTCCCACCGGCATTTGAACCACTGTCCAGTGTCAATAGTCGAGGACGGGTCTGTAGTATGGGACGATTTCTGTGTTCGCTAGTCAAGTCGTCATTGAATAGTACGCAACGACGACAACGGGCTCATCGAGTCGATGCCGTCTTACTAATGGGTGGAAATATCCGTGGAGGAACGGATTACCCCAAGGGAAGTTACTTTAGTTTGGAAGCTTTGGAGGCAGAAATCAAACCAGATGAATCCGTGGCCGTGGTGCAAATGCCGGGGTGGCTCCTGGCCAAGGGCGTGGCCGAAACCCATTCGGGTGATCCCATACCGGGGTGGATCCAATATGATGATGGAGTCAAAGAGAAGCTGCCGGAGGATGGGGATGGCGCGCCCGTGGTGACACATGTCAATGATTTGCCCATTGATCCCGACATGACGTATCGAGTTGCCACCAAAATATCCGACTTGGCAAATGGACAAAGTCCTTCTTGGAAGGAATGTAAGTTAGTTTGGTTGACAGCATGCAATCGCTCCTCCATCGAATGAATCGAGTTGGCTGGCTACGGTAGCTTTCTACTTACTTGATTATGCTGATCCTACTAACCATTGCAAGACTATTTGAAACATGGCATTGACAATCTGATTTCAGATTATACAACCTACCCCGAGGCATTGCCCACAAAGGGTGCCTACGTCAATGTCTATGCAGAACTCATGAGCTTCTTTAGCAAGAACCTATGGAGAAAGATGTGGGAGGCAATGACGCCTTTGGCCATGGCCGTGGAGAAGGGGACTGAAGTCGACAATCTGGAGATTGACGCGACTTCCTTGGATGAATTGTGCGATGTAGAAGCCAACTGCTTGCCAGAACAACGGCTGTCTGTCCTGGATCAAGATGATTCCGGTGTAGTGACGATTGACGACATTCACTTGGCACTCGCGGATATCTTGCATCTTTCAGTGGATGGTAGCGGGACCGAAACGTCTCTGGCCGAGTTTGTTCATAACTTTGCCGATGCCGATGGGGATGGAGTTGTGACGGTGGGCGATATGAAGTCCTTTTGTGCGGAGATTCCAGAAATTTACGACAATCAAAAGTGGCGATTGGCGTTTCCCAGACCGGAACAGTTGCTTTCCCGGTGATACTGTGCAACTTTATTGTGACTTTTTTTGAATTGATTAGAAACAGCCATCTGTTGTTTACGAAAACGAAACTTGATTTCCAGTGATTTTATGTTATGCTAGAATAAATTATGTAATTTATGTAGTTGCCTTATCCGTCACATCCAATGAGATTCTTCCTGCGTTCTTTTCGCTTCACCCGTCCAACGCGTACTGCATATTCAAACAAACAAAACAAGCATGGGAAGTACCGTCTCCCGTGTATCAGCCATCACGCACACCCTCATGACTGCTTGCGCTGTGCTTCCTTTTTAGACTCCTGGCAGTCCATCACCCAAATTCATGACGTCGCAGTACCAGTTGTCCTGGCGACCTGCCTGCTTTCCCCGTTTCGCAATGGGTTTTCCAGCTGGGTTTCCACCAAGGGAGTCAATAGTAACTTGGGCATCAGGCTCAATGGGGCAGCAGAGGCTATCAAAGTCTCCCCATTGAAGGCAGACCTGATCGGTACTTGGAGGGGCATCCGGGCGGAGATTCTCAAGCCATCCTTGCGAGCTCGGAATCAATACTAAATAGTAAAGAAGGAACGACACGGTGAGACTTTGGGCACAAGGAATGCCTGAAAATGTACAGTTCGAACATTTTGTGTACGTACCTGCGTCAATACTGTGGACAACTCCATTAGATGCCAACATATCGGCCTCAATGACAGTAGCCCGGGCATCCACGTTGATGACACTTGCAGGAGCCTCGTGAGTAATAGTCAAATGGCGCCCGTGGACAGGTGCCGTCAGTTCATTGGGAGATGTCAGGCGACGTTCCAAATCATTCTTGGCATTCAGACGGCGATCCAAGTAGTAGTCTCCAATGGTGATGCGAATGTCACTTCCCTGCAATGTGGTAAACGTGGAGTTGTGTGTCAAGTCTTGGGCGTAGACGACGCCGGGAACCACGTGGTATTTGAGAATCTATGATGCGAAGCGTACAAAAGATGTGAGTAAAGGAATCTCTTTTTATAATAATCAAGGCCTCTCCAGCCGCGATCTGTTCAGCATACCTCTGTCATGGTTTCAAGGTTGGATGTCCAATCGCTTCCAGAAAGAAGTCCACTGCTCAACAAGAGATCATCGAAAGCCTAGGGGAGACGGTGCAGAAAAGCGCGATATGTGAGAATAATTTTGCCATCATGACGGGCAGGAAACACGATTTCAGGACTTACCTGGTTATTGGGGGCGAAAAGCGTAAACCTGTCAAATAAAGGAAACGAAGAGCAGCCGGCAGCAGTGAGACAAACCGTCGACACTTTGGAACAACCAGGAATGTGAATTTCAAAGAGCATCACACTTACGGTCCATCTGTGGAGAGGTCTGGGATCAACCCAGTCAAGACCAATAGGTACACCAAAGTGGAAAAGTCTCTGGGTTGACGAGCAATGACATCAATGATATCCGTTTCGTGAAAGGGAGGGATAATGACCTGATTGGTTACCTGAAGCGCACCATTGATAGCAAGCAAGTCGCCTGTGGTAACCGAGGCTTCATCGTTGACAATGATGGTATCGGGGGTTCCCTGCGTGACTTCGGTAAACTCTTGTTCCAACAGGGCGGGCATTCTCAATCCTGTGGTCATGCTTGGTTTCAGAAACAGTCCAGCCATGATTTGGTACTCCATGGCAGCCTTCAAGTGAAGATGGTAGTCGTAGTTGTTCATGTAGAGAGAAAAATGAGGATAGAATCCAGTATTGACAGACGCAAAGGCTGTCAGAGTCACGGACGGGTTATTGAGGATATCCAATAGACCGGTACGACGAGCCGCGCTGACAAAAACGGTCAAGCCCTGCTCTTCCATCAACTCGAGAATGGTGGGTTCTACTTCAGGTGGTGGAGTCAAAGGACGGTCAATGACATGGAGGACTCCGTTGCTGACCAAAACGTCACGGTCCACAATCTCCGAGTCGGTATTGAGGAAGATGGCATTTGGAGGCCTCTGAACAGGTCGGTTTCCTTGTCGGACCATGGCTTGTACGGTGGTGACATCAATATCACTTCCTTGCACCGTCTGAACCGTGTCGACGCGTTCCAACTGAGCGGAAAAGACATTTCCATTGAGGAAATGGTACAGGAGATAGTTCCGGACTCGTTGCTGGTCCTGAACAAAGGTGTTCCACTGACTGTCCATGGTTGCCCCAAAGGCCCTGTCGGGAGGCGCAAACACTGTGAGAGGGCCAGGTCCCGACATTTCCTCGATGAGTCCGGCCCGTTCAATCAAATTGGTAAACACTTGATAATCCGGATTGTCCTTGACAAAATCGTAGATGGATTGCGAGGCACTGATGGGTAGCAAGACGTGATCAATGGCCTGGACGACTCCGTTGGATGCCAACTTGTCTTGTTCAAAGACGGTGGCATTGTCGTTCAAAATAAGAGGACGGGGATTGGAGGATGTAACGCGGATGATTTCGTCTTGGGTGGAAACAACCTCATCACCGACTTCGAGATCCGACGCCCAAATCTCTTGCTCGGTTGCTTGGTACTTGAGCAGATCAATCAAATGGGCCGTCCAAATGGGTTGCAGCAAGCGGGTGACATTGACACGCGAATTGGCAAAGGCCACATTGACGGGAGCAAACAGAGTCAGGGGACCTAAGTAAGTAAGAGTAAATCAGAACATGTCAAAAAGATAATCATGAGAAAAGTGAGGGGAGATCCATAGAGGTGCAGAGAAAAATGAGGGTATCCTTCTAAAGATACGGTACGGGAGATACCCTTAGCTTACCTGGTCCACTGAGCTCAGGCATCAATCCAGCAGCCGTCAAGAGAGAGACGAGGGTAGAAAAGCGGAGATCCCTGCTAATGATACCCACAATGCTGGGTTGTTGGCCAACGATGGTGCCAGGCAGCAGCAGCGCCATCAACCCGAACAAGACCTTCTTGGCGACCATGGTGCTTCTTTCTTCAATTCTTCTTTCGGTGGCTTCTTCAAACGGTAGGATATCTTCGCATAGAAAGGTAGTAAGGTTACGATAGCGGCTATACAACGATCAGGTGGTTTCAATATATCTCCAAGCAAAATTATGGGGATTCTGACACGAAAAGGGCGACTATTACTGTCGAGATGTTGCTTGGATGGTTGTGTTGAGTTGAGTGAGCTGCTGTAGTAGTGGTACCACTCTAGCGGTACCAGTGCTCGAACTGCTTTTTAAAATGCCAAAATCGCGACGGTTTCAGCATGGGCCGCCGGGGCCATGGCCTAATTCTTTTCGCTATGTGACATTCTTGGATCCAATGTCCGGCATCCTTTGGGCGAAGGCCGACTTGTACGACTGAAGACCTAATAGTCCCAGTTCGCTTCCCACACCCCTTTCCCATCCTCGGAGACTCACACGTTTCGTTGGACAAAGTTGGCATCTCCCATCACTAATGCTTTGAGTTGCAAGTGAGGGTGATGCACATGTAAATGATCCAGAAGCGGATTGATCCATTCAAGCGTGACATGGAGGAACGATCTTCGACGGCCTCTGTTCCGGTGAAGCGTGCAGAGATTGCGGCTGCAGGTTGTCGCCCACAACTTTTGCCAGTGGCATCCGTTTGCGCAAACTTCTTTTGGTGGATTGGATGGATCGAACCGTTGCTTGTCACACGCTGGTTACCACCATCCATCGGCTCCTGATACCATACCGGTACCGGGCACCGGTACGAGTGCATGTCTCTAGCCGTTGGTCATCATATTCGAGATGTATTTATCTACGATATCTGGTACCGTCTGCTTCGTTGTAGTATTCTCCGCTCTTACATGCACTATTTTATGAAACCAGTTTCTAGTTTAGTGGCTGACACCCTTTGAGCAACTTAGGCAGCTTTGTAGTTGCTTGCCTCATTTATTTGATCCCCGAAGACTCCTTCTTTGATAGTACGTAAAGCTAAAGATCTCTACATGAAAGATCTGCCCGCTGGCCATCACCACGTAGATTCGATTTGGAAAGCCCCTCTTGCTGTCATAGGACACATCCATCTGCCGAGCTCCGGCACCCAGCTGGTGCTGAATGAGACCAAAGTAGCTGTCCAATGTTTGCTTTTTGGTCCAAACAATCTCTTTGTTTGTACCATCCACCAAGGATATCCCCGCACCATTGCGAACTTGGGAGGCAAAGGGGTACACAACACCCTCTGGGATGTTGCTCCCAAAATTGGTAAACTTGTAGTCATAGTTCAAGATGCCTTGGCTTTGCCACTTGGACCTGGCCGCATCTAGCTGTGCTTGCAATGCAGCGGCATTGGGAAGCAGTCTTCTTCTTTGGGAGGAGTGGTCCGTACTTACTGAAAAGTCAGAGATATCGACACGAATGGTCTTGTCCTCAACAGTGACAATCCGGATGTGCTCCGGGAATCCTTTTATCGGATCATACGACACATCAATCACTTTGGCGCCCTGATCCAGCTGACTTTGAATGAGTGCAAAGTACGTGTCCATGGTCTGTTCTTGCGTCCATTCCACTTCCAGCTCACCGCCACTCTGCAATTCGGAGGAAACCACTGTTCCATTTTCAATGTGCGAGGATCCATGGAGTGTGAACTCAAAGTCATAGTCCTCAATACCCTGACTCTCCCACTTTGCAAAGGAGGCATCCAGCTCTGCTTGTATTGCGGCCATCTGCGGGAATTCGATGACTGCATGGATTTCCACGTGAATGGTCGTGCCCTCGTTGGTGTTAATCTGGATGCGCTCGGGGTATCCTTGTGCTTGATTGTATGTCACATTGAGTTTCGTGGCACCCTGATCCAGCTGATTCTGGATCAAATCAAAGTACCGATCCAGCGTTTGCTTTTTGGTCCACAAGATTGGTTGGTTCTCGGCATCCACCAAGGAAACTCCGGCTCCCTTGCGCACCTGCGACACAAACGGGTACAGAGTATGCTCCGTCACTCCATCTCCATAATCTGTAAAATTGTACTGATAATCCTGGATATCAATACTCTGCCACAGCGCTTTGGCAGCATTGAATTTTTCCTCAAACATATCCTGGGGTTCTAACATGGCAAGGTAATCTTCACCCAAGACAGCAGGGATTAGCCAATAGCTAAGAATGGCAAGGGTGCGTATGGATTTCATGCTTGTGTGTTGTTGTTGCGTATTGTTTGATTGTTGATTGTTGCTTCTCTCTTTAGTAGTGTGTATTGTGAGCTTCGGATGTTGGGAGCCTCGCCTCTTTTTCGAACGATTACCCCAATCCATTCACAGAAGTTTGAGTCAAGTGTGTGACTGGAGAATCATTCCCAGGCTGATTGTGACTGAATTGAATTTGTGAGACGAGCGTGACTCGAAGTTGACTGAACTCGTCACTCACTTGATTCCATCGGCCCTATGACGTCATATCAGAATCCTTTTTTCAGTCGCGAGCCTATCCCACAAGCGGGGTTCGGTGGCCATAAATCGGTCCGTTCGGCCCAGCGTCATGGAAGGTCAGAGAAGTCTGCGTGTTTGTCCATGCTTGCTGGAACTCGCGCACCTCGCTGGGGCCCAAGATTACTTGCCGGAAACTGCACGATTTGATTTGGAAAGAATAAAACCGAATTTACTCGATTTTCTCAAACGTTTGCTAGAAAATAATGCAAGTGAATGATGACATGGCATGCTTGCCCTCGAAGCCAAGATAGCAAACCCTTTGGCCCCGTAATGGTCCTCAATTTCTCGCCGCTGATCCCACAGAACCTAGCTAGCTAGTCCTGAATTTCGACTGTTCTTTGCTTGAGCCTGGCCCCGGCTGGCTTCCGTAGATAGTCTAGTCCACCTACTCTAGACCGCCCGTCATCTTACTTGCAGTAGGATGTCTCTCTGGATGTCTCTCTTGGTGCGGCATTGAGAGTCTGTCACCCAATAGGCTCCAACAATAGTAGATAAACGGGCACTTGTACTTCACAAAGCAAGGTTGGACCACTTTGTAGCTAGCTAGCTATCGGTAGCTGGGAGAAGAGATGTGTGGCTGAGCCTCCGTGTCTACGCCATGCATGCACGCGGCGCTGGGAAAGACAGGCATCAATGTGCTTGCCATTCTTGTCAAATTAGCTATTGCAAAGGACGTTGTGCTGAGGGTTTTTACAAATATGGCATAGCCAGCTAGTCTAGTTCGCTAAATAGGAGAGGCAGCATCAAGATAGATGCGTGCGAGTCCAATCGCGCTTCCTTCCACCCCTTTGTTGTTTCAGTGGATGGCATGCTTGCCCCTCAAGCCAAGACTCTCTTACAACGCCTTGCTTCTGCTACTGCCTCCAAAACTCAATTTTCCTACTCTCAAATGATGTTCTTCATGCAGACCCGTATCTCAATTGACCTTGTGAAAGCTACCCATTTATGTCTCCGTGGATCCCGCAAAGCCAAACCCTTTGCCCCCCGTAATGGTCCTCAATTTCTTGCCCCTGATCCCACAGAACCTAGTCCTGAATTTCGACTGTTCTTTGCTTAAGCCTGGCCCCGGCTGGCTTCCGTAGATAATTTCCCTACTCTAAAACCCCCCGTGTGTGAGATAGATTGGTCATCATTGCAGCATGCTCCCTGTTTGCTGGATGTTCCTACTAGCTAGATAGAAAAATGATATTCCAAATAGTAAAATAAACAAACCATTCATTTACATGGTTTTTCATTGTGCTTTCCCGCAATTGGGTCGTCAATAATTGAGGCGGTTGCGCGACAGTACTACTGGTGAATAGTTAACTTGTATCGGTAGGTGCGTGGTGTTACATAATGACCGACCGTAAGATTTGTAGTTTGTAGCCTGGCCTTCTTTCTTTCTCTCAGCAACCGCCGTAAGTAACTGTGCACCGTTACCTGCTCTTTTCTTCTGCACACAAAAAACTAAACCTACAAACCAAAAAGAGAAATGCAACAAGCAGCAGAAGATCCCCCGACCAAGATGACGCCTCAACCAATAGCCCAATCTTCCACCATGAGCTGTAGTAGTGGGAGCAGCCACAGCAGCAGCTGCAGCAGCAGTCACAGCCACAGCAGTGTTGTGGAAGCGTTTGAGGAAGAACCTACTTCAGTAGTAGCCGTTCCTCTGGGAGAACCAGAAGCCGAAGATGAATTGCACAAGGAAGCCGCCGCCAGTGCTTCTACATCCTCCTCATCCTCCGACACTGTCATCAAGGAACCCAAATTGGGCCACTCGTTCTTCTTTTTCCTGTGTGACATGAGGCGCGCGGTGGTGCTGTTGGACTCGATCGGGATTGTGATTGGAGTTGTCATGCTGGGCGTTGAAATCAACGCGTACATGACAGGCTCGGACGATTTCAAAATGCCGCTCATGGCCGATTCGACCGCACGAGAACACGGCTTTGGAGTGATTATGGTCCTGAAATGTATTTCGATTGTCTGTCATTTGGCCGGCATTCGAGGGGCGATGCGATTTCAAATTTGTCCGCTGAGTTTTGCCACTCTTTGGGATTTCATTTACGGCGTCTTGGCCATGTACGACAGTTACTGGATCGGATTCACCAAATCGCTTTTGGTGCTCTATCCGCATGTCGTTCTCTGTTCCGAGATCAATCAAGGAATCATGACGCCAGAGACATATGGGCCACGAGAAAAACAATCCATTTGTGGTGTTTGAATGGATTCAATTCGATTCAATACACTTTCACTTGCGGCAAATTATTTCTCACGTCATGGAAATCAATGAGGTACCGACGCTTCCATCGACAGCTTGGCGGCCCAACCGAGTGAGGCACCAATAGAACACAGCAGCAGACAAACAGTGGAAAACAAACGAGACCAGCTAGCAACAACTCTGGAGCGCTATTGAGGCAAGTCCTTCAACGATGATTGGCTACCTGGCTAGACAACTCTCTAGCTAGCTACAGTAGCAAGAAATCCAACCGAAAATCCAACATTCTGCTGCGCTGTACTGTAACAATTGTAAAGATAGGACCCAATTATTGTAATCACTGCTAGCTATTAATAGCTACGGGTAGAGGCTCCTAACCAAGGTCGGAGGTGCTTTGTAATAAGATACGGTGACGGTATATGGATAGCTATGGCCAATCCTCCACGGGGTCCGGAAAAATGGCCAGTGGGTGGTAACTTATTGTAGCTAGCTACGGGAAAGGGAAAGGATGACGTAGACTGCTCCGGTCCTTGCGTGCCATCGCCACCATGTCCTCTTGGGAGAAACCGCACTACTGGTCTGCAGACATCCTTGCCAGCCAGTAGCTCGTCCCACGGAACCAGCCAAGCCCGCGGAGGTGCGGCCAAGCATCCAATGTCCCAAAACTTGGCTACGTACTGGTGGTATAATACCCCGACGGGAAGCGCAAAGTTCTACAGTACAACACGGGACAACTAATAACTCGCACGACAATCGAATGCACCGTACGATGGTGCAATCCGGTTTTCGTGTTGCTGACGGGATCACGAGACAGAGGACAGCTTCGAACGATCCAACGAACCTGACGCACCTCGATCATCGCTGCCTCCAAGCCACAGTAGCTAACCAAGCAATTTGCCTTTTGGTACATTCGGCTTTGCTTGATTGGCAGAAAAATGCAGCGGAGTTTGTCTCAGACAGTCGAGCGAACGGTTGTCACTCACACACTATTTAATAGACTAGACAAACTACGCTGTGGAGTGCACATTGGGAGCGACTCTGACTAGTACCGGTATGCAAGAATTCTATGGTAGAGGAGGATTCGGAAACGGAGAGCACTGCAAGTGGCCCGTAATCGACGAAGGACCGGGTTCCTGTGCCAATGCAGCTGGAACGAGAAAGTGATCTAGCTAGCTAGTGCTGCTGCTAGGTGGTTGTGGCAGGCCGCAAACATGATCTGCCCCAATGTACGGTACCGCTAGCTAGTTAGGTAGAGTGTCTGAGGCTCTCTGACACCCGCGGACAAGGCACAAGTGTGGTAAACAGCGGATGTTGGATTCACCCCGAAGATGTAAATTTAAGGCTCTGATGGCTTTGTTTAGTTTTGGGATCCCGTTGACGGACATGTATTTGACTCAAAACGATTCGATTCGAATCGAATCACTCGACTCGATTGAAGATTCGATTCATCATCGCATTCGTTCGAATGGGATTCGATTCGATTCTCTATAACTACTAGCTAGTAGACGCACACTAGCATGTGCGGTACCAGTACCGGTACGTACCAGTACCGGTACTCTACAGGACCTCTGTGGAAACTCGAGTCGTGCTACTTTTCGTCTATTAAATCCTTTTGATCGTTTCCTATTTAATGGATTTCGTCTCCTAAAAATAGGAGACGAAACGGATCGTCTCCTAAATCTTTTGTCTCCTCTTAAAACGTCTCCTATTTTCAACGGATCGTCTCCTATTCTCAACGGATCGTCTCTTAAGTGTATCATGTAAACTGTATGGTATCGTCTCCTAAAGCTTTCGGATCGTCTCCTATTTCGAAACGATCGTCTTTTAATTGGAATGTCTCCTACTGAATCGTCTCCTAAATATAGGAGACGATTGCTTTCGTCTCTTAAATCATTTCGATCGTCTCCTATTCCTCGGTGTCTCGTCTCCTAAGTATTTTGCCACGAATGACGTTTCCACAGAGGTCCAGCGTACCGATTCTAGGGACCGGTACCATGGTACCAGGTACCGGTACCGTCCGTGCAACTCCCGGCAGGAAACGGTCGTGGCTTCCACGCTGTACCGGTACCTGGAACCGGTACGGCTGTACTCCACCGGTTGCTCTATCTCTAGAGAAAGGGACCGGTACCACCGTGCGGTACCGCAATCCGTCCACATCACCGCCTGAAACGATCGTGGATTCCACGCTGTGCACGGTTCGGTGCTAGTCTTCATCTTCGCGAGCTCGATCGAGCGAAGGCTCATTGGCTCCATGGCCGAAGCACAAGTTCTTTCCATATTCCATTTCAGAGTGCAAAACTCCTTCGAGAGTGTTTCTTCCATAGCCGATCCCTGATCTAACATGGCAAGTATGTCTTGTGCACTTTCGTTGATTCCGACTGTGCTATTGTATGCTAACTTTATTCCTCGCGCACACGTGGACGTATTTATATAGAGCTGCTGCAAGAAATGTGGCACGACGGACAATGTGGTTCCTCAGGTCGGATTCTGTCCCAAATGTCTTCAGGCATTCATGTCTCAAAGCTCGACGCAACTAGGGCAGCACCATGCAACCCATGACTCTAATGCTTGGTTGCTGCGGCTCTCCTCAACAGCACACGATCCGGCTTCAGAAGTACGCAAGGTGTGCGTGGACAATGACATTGGAAAGAATCTCCAGCCCCACCAGAAGGAAGGCGTTGATTTTATTTGGGAAAATGGTTTCTCGGACTGTAATTATTTCCTAGATGGGGATGAATCACAAATTGGGTAAGTGATGTTGAGTGACATGTTTCTGACTGACCGGCACATTCATTTGTTGCACCCACCATGGACTCACGCAGTCAGCCTTGCAATTATGTATAGGGGCTGCATTTTGGCTCACTACATGGGTCTAGGTAAATTCAAATGTCGATGTCTTTTCTGTGCTTGGTTGTCAGCAGCAAATGAGCTAAAAACGGTCCCTTGTCCTGCGCAATTGCCTCTTAGGAAAGAGCCTCACGTTAATTACATTGCTGCACACGGCTTTGACCTGTACCTCATTGGTCTCTAGTGCTACAAATAAGCCTCTATTTCGAACTGTCCTCCTTATTGCTCCGGCCAATACCCTGACCAATTGGGAAAATGAAGTTGAAAAGTGGACAGGAGAGCTGGAAAGACCTCTTAGGATTGTAAACCTTGGAAAGGCAAAAGCCGGCTACCAGGCATCTGAAATCAAGAAGTGGACCCGTGATGGTGGTCTCCTGGTTATGAGTGATTCTCTGTTCCTAAAGTTGGCTGATACACTGTTGAAAATAGCCCAGCCAGATGTGTTGGCATTGGATGAAGCTCACACGATGCTGAAACGCTCTGGGAACAAAGGGTACAAGAAGCTCCATGACATTCGCACTAAACGAAGAATCCTTCTGACAGGAACACCCATGCAAAACAATGTCACTGAGTACTTTCATATGGTGGAATTCATTAGACCTGGAGTCATTGAAGTCCAATCAGGGCATGAGTTTGAGAAAGTATTCCGGTAAGTCTGCATTGTGCACAAGAGTGAGCTGCCGGTTGATTCCTTCCTAAAACTATTGGTTGTTTTCTCTTCTGGGTGTGACAGCGAACCTATTGAACGTGGCCTTCCTTCAGATGCTGCCGATGAAGACAAGCTGGTGTCTCTGCAGCAACAACTGGATCTCAAGAGAAAGGTTGACCCATATGTGCACAGGAAGAGTGCAACTGTGTTGCGAGACCAGCTTCCCCCTCTATACGACACACTTCTCGATTTACACCCAACCCGGATTCAAACAAAGCTGGCCAAGGTGTACAAGCGACAGCAACATGAGGGGGATAAAAACTTCTTCAAGTAAGCTTGCAAAGAATGTTGCATGCTCTGTTGCCATGTCTGGATTTGGCTCACATCACATTTCCTTCATTTTAAGGATGTATGCTGCTCTGTCTCCCATGTACAACCATCCGGGATGCTTAAAACTGATCAAGGGAAAGAAAGGCAAAGAGGAAACCTGGAAGCAATATGATGATGTGGTAGATGATGAAGACTTATGGTTCATGGATGATGGGCTCAAGAAAAGTGAATTCAACGGAATGCACAAGTGCCGAAACAGTCCCAAGTTGATCATTCTTGCACATATTCTGGCTACAGCTGTCCGAGATGGGGACAAAACTTTGGTGTACTCCAAGGACCTGAATACATTAAGCATTGTTGAGTGGTTCCTTTCACAATCTGACTGGACCAAGCATGTTACTTCGCTGAAGCACAAATCATTTGCAGGTTTGAAGCTTGGAGGATGGAAAAAGGGCAAAGATTTTGTCCGGATCGATGGGGGTGTTGATAGCGGCCGACGTGGCAGTCTTGTGGAGAAGTTTAATGGTGATCCAAATGTCAAGGTCTTCACCATTTCTTGTCTTGCTGGAGGAATTGGAATCAATTTGGTGAGTACATTTTGATTTTGTATCATCTTGGAGCTGATTGGCAATGAACAGGGATCTGACATTTGACCTTTCTGTTGATCTTTCTTAGTGCTCTGCCTCAGTAGTTGTCCTCCTTGACAACCATTTCAACCCGAGTGTCAGTGACCAATGCATTTCCCGTGCCCATCGTTATGGTCAAAAGAAGCCTGTGCGCTGCTTTAGGTTGGCCATGAAAGGAACAATGGAGGCCAAGATCTACGCCCGGTCAGTAAACAAATCTGGAGTTGCACAGCAAGTGATTGACGGAAACTTTTCTGAGAAGCACTTCCACTTCTCAGCTGAGGAGCTGGAGGATCTGAAGGACTTCAAGTCCTCTGTTGAATGCAGTAGATGTGGCAAATGGCGCTCATTCCCTGCAGACCAAGACCTTCCGGATCAAGATGCAAATTGGTATTGCGAGATGAATACAGACCAGCGATACAACAGCTGCACTATTCCTGTCGAGGCAGCTCTGTTGGAGCACTACCGAGGGCAAAGCCGTGTGCAAGAAGATGGCCTCCTACGACACCTCTTGCGTGTGGTGAATCCTAAGACTATGAAGAAAGAAATTGTGGCAAGCCATACGCCAGTAGAGATCATTCACGAGTCGGACTGTTCTTGTGAAGATGCCATTGCCAAGTTGGAGGGAGAAATTGCAGATCAAAAGAAAAAGATTGCCCTGCAAGGGAGGGGTGTTGCAGCTTCAAGAAGTGATGGGGCAGCAGTTGTGGTTGTACAGCCCAAACTGGAAGCAATGCCACAATTGCCCGGAGCTGGTGGCGCGCCACAAGAGATTGTTGACCTTACATTGTTTGATGAGCCGGACAGCAAACGACCAAAGGTGGCTGTCTAACTACGGTACTGTTGTATCGCTAGAGCTATGCCCCAAGATTATCGTTGTTGACCTTGCTATAGCTCGCCAATCTCTGTTGATAACAAAACTGATTACTAATACACACTTCTTTCCTAAACTGCACGCGTTCGCTTGCCCGTTGCGCACGAATACATACTCGCTCATCACATCACATTTTCATTTCATTTCATTCCATTCACATGCGCAACTGGGTGAGCGACTGGACATGACGAAAGGATGGCTCGTCTTCTCCTGGTGGACTGGGTGCGGCCAACCACTTTCGTGGTCGTTGTGGAGTCGTAGGAGTCATCGTCGCCGGAAGGGACGCTGGATCAGATGCGGAAAACAAGGACATGGCCGCCGTGGCAAGGGTCTTGTTGGAAGAATCCATCTCCGTCTTATTGCCAGGAAACAAGCGTGCCAAACTGGGTTGTGTGGACAGTTTGGGTCTGCTCTTGGGTGGTTTCGTAGTATTGGTCGAAGGACGCTGTTGTTTACTCCGAATCTTGGGATGATACTGATAATTGGTATTACTTGCATCCATCATGGAATCGTAGATGCCCGCCCCGGCGGCAATGTAAGAGGAAGTCATGGAGATACTGGATCGTCGTCGATAGGGATTGACCGAGCTGTCGACACTGGTGCGACGACAATGATTGTCATCCTGCGAAAAGTCGACTCCAATGTCGCGAGGCACCGTGACGGTGGAGACGGAGCATTGCGTGGTAGGACACTGAATGAGTCGTCCTTCGTGGCACAAAAAGGTATCCAAACGACCGGGATCGAGCAACTGCATGGCCGTACCGTTACGGCCCTTGTAGGAATCAACGAGTTCTCGTGTGTTCAACTGTTGAATGGTCGGCACGGAAAAGGATTTGCGCATGCCAATGCATTCTGGTTCTGCTTTGACGAGTGATTCTGGCTGTTGTTGCGACGGTGGAGCCCAAGTAGACGCCACTGTCGTCGAAGCCATCTCGTAGTCCTGATGACTGAGAGAGAGACTCTGTGTGTCCTTATTGGACCGTCCTTGTCCAGCTGTCTTGGACGCATGGCGTGCTGACTGCAGCAAAAACGACGACAGCGCATTCAAGTACTTATCGTCGTCTCCCTTTTTCTTTGTGGCGTCCTTTTTCTTTGTGGCATCTTTCTTCTTCTTCTTTTGCTGCTGCTGCTGTTGTGTTGTATCTAGTAGCTGCTGAAGCTGTCGCTGCGAGGACGCCTTGGTCATGGTGATGGCAGCACGTCGCTCTTTGGGCTTTTTCATATTGGGGAGGAAGCTGTCATTGTCATGGCTGTTGTTGCTACCAACACTGGTCGTGTGACTGCCATTGGAGTTGGTGTTGTTGGTGCTGGTTTGACTATTGTGTCGGGCTTCGGCAATCCTCTGTTGGATGGATTTGCGGTGATCGTCTTGTTGACTCTTCTGCTTCTTTGTCGTCGTCTTGACAAGGCCTCCTTGTACCGGTACAGTGGCTTTGGCGGGATACTCCATCAAACGGGGCATGGGTGTATTGGCACTGTCTCGAAATTGGAAGCGCCGATTGGTCTCTTTCTTGTTGTTGGACGTCTTTTTGCGTCGTCTTGTACTCGATTCCATCAAACGAAGGATATTGGGGGCTCGCAGCTTTTTCACTTCCACTTGCGATGGCACGTCGTCATTGTCATTGTCACGCAAAAGCTGAGGAACTTGAATCACAGCAACAGGAGGACCATTCAAGCCTCCCGTGCTACGGTTGCGGCGCATCATGGTGGTGCTGGTGCAGAATGTATATTGTATATTAGTGAAGGTAGAGAGGGAAAGATTTGTAAAGGTGATGGCTGTGGCAGCAATATGGTAGCTGTGAAATGGAAAAGCTAAAAGTCCCTTTTACTGCTTGGATGCTCTGTGACTTTGGAGCTTGCTTGGGAACGTTGAGAGCTTTTTGTTCCGACAAGAAGAGCCCCCCTTCACCCTTCACACTGGTTCAAAGCCAGTCAACGAGGGAACAAGCGACCCTCACCTTGAACACATTACTGAATGTGAAGAAACTTTCCTTGAAGAGCAAGTCAATGAATTAACAAATCAAAAGGTGTCCAAGAGCGTTCGGAACAGGTCCTTTAAATCTTGAACCTCCATGTCAAACTGTCCAAGAACGTCCCTCGGATTCTCTGCGGTATTGGTTTTGGCATTTAATAAGTCCTACTCCCAAGAACTGGTGTTGGCGATATCTAACTGTGACTGCCAGCATGGTCCATGATTCTGTGAAATGTGAAAGCCTCATTGCCCCAATGAAAATTATTTTTAATATTTTAAATAGAGCTCGGTCACACATCGGAGTCACTTTTATCACTCGCATAAAACTGTACACTCGACTCGACTCTCGACTCTCGACTCGGCACTTGGTTGAAGATCTTCCAAAGGCCACAAAAAAAAAGACTGCAGCTCTATGTAACTTGATTCTCGACATGGGTATCTGCTACATGGCTGGCGAGAGGGTAAAATTTACGATTGCTGTGGTTTTGCTTTCTACGAGTCCAGTCGATTCTGTCCTCAGCGCACATCCACGGAGTCGCAAACGCAATGACAAGGATGGTTCCAGCTCCAGCTAGCTAGTGAGCTACTCAGCACATGTTGGAAGAGAGGCTGATAGAGTAGCTCATACAGTCCGTTCGATTCGATTCGATTCGATTCGATTCGATTCGATTCGATTCGATTCGATTCGATTCTTTCTTTTAGCAGACTTTGACGGTGTTTTCAGCCATTTTGAACTCGTCGCTGCACAAAGCACCTCTACGGACGACGCTCGACTTTTAAAATCAGATGTAAATACGCGAAGACATGGCTGCAGCCAACAGACAGTTCCGAGAGCGTACCTAGGGAACGAAAAGTCGGTGGATGGTGGATCGGCCAGCCAACCAGCCAACCGTACCATGCACTCAGCTTTGCACAACTATGTTTGACTGCACTGGATCCCGGGCAAAACACTCTGCAAGTCCACTCGGGCGGATGGAAAATGAAGAAAACAGCTCGAAAATGGATGCCAATGGAAAAGAAGATACGTTCGTAAACGAGGATTGCAAAACACTGTAGCCTCGTAGAAATGTAGAAGTAACTAAGCATTCGAACCCAGTTTCGGAGATCGAATCTCTACCGGTATTTCTGCAAACACAAAACCTCAACACAATTGGGGGCGTAGCTCTAACGAAGAACAGATAGATTGTTGTGTTGTGTTATGTTATGTTATGTACCTTATCTTATTCGATGCCGCGGAGATTTCCCTTCCGGCGGTCTTTTCTCCTGTCGTCATGCCTGGGAGTCGCCCTCTAGAGGACTCACACTTCAATGTCCTCATTTACAAAAGTTTCTATAGGCAGAGTGACAGAAGACCCACGTGGCAACAAGTGTCCGATCTCTACCTGACCTCCCTTGACCCCATACTTGGACTTGCACTCCTCAATGAACTCTGCTACCACAGATTCACCCTTCAGTGCCCACTCCTCACGATTTGTGCGGGCATAGTTCAAGAACTCATCACTTGAGACACCAAAGACTCCACAATCCTTCAACTTCTGTGTCAAGGGGATGATGTAGAAATCAAAGAAGCCTATCAAAGAAAGAATGACACAGCAACCTAGTGAGCACAACAGCTGGTGCCTTTCTTGTACATGTAGAATGAGGGAGGGGGCTTACCAAATTCGCCATTGTACCAAAAGTCCGCGGGATTCTTCTCCATCCTTCCATTCAAGTAGGCTACATAAAGCTCCTCAAACAGCTTCTGATTCCATTTCTGCAAGCAGGGGACAAACAAAATGTTTCTTGTCAGAGTCTGGGTCGACTAATGCCAAATCAGAGCACCTCCTCAACAACACCTTACCTTGTAGACATGCCAGTGCTGCATTGTGTGCGATATATCCGAGGCTTGGATGATGTGTTCAATAATGATGGTGGCTTTCCTGTTGACAGAATCCCTGGCATTTTCTTCAAGTTGACCTGAGCTGGCAAATTCACCTGTCTTGAAGGCCTTGTCCCACCTGCGGTTCCTTAATGCCTTTAGATCCTTGTCCACAATGTCCGTCTACAAGCAGTATTATTGAAACGTGTTAGCAGCTGCCAATGAAATAGATGCAAAATGACACCATCTGCAACTACTTACTGCCATGACCGAATTCACAACAAGGTCTTGGAATCGGCTCAGATCAGCTTTGGTCTCAAAGAGGAAGGACCGAAGCTCAGCATACTCATCACCCATCAAGAGCTTCCAAGCAATTTCCAATGAGTTCTACAATCATGGAGCAGAAGAGGCATATAGTGAGTCCCCCCAGTTGCACATTGACCACAGAAGCTAACAATGGCTCAACTTACTTGTTCTGCAACACTCCTCTCCTTGTATTTGGCAGCAATGGAGACTCCTTCCTTGACAAGCTGGGCATTGGACACTCCCACATGATCTAAGACAACCTTGTAAGGACAACTGCAACAATAGACAAGGATACCAAAGCAACAAGTACTCACCAACATCATGGATCAAGGCTGAAAATGCACAGGCGAATTGGGTAAGGGGATCTGAGGTGATGCCATAGGTGTGGCTAAAGAGTTGCAATGAGTTACATTGGTGAGCTCTCAACAATAAACACTAAATGTGGGGAACATAAGGAGAAGCAATGGCAAGAACTCACTCATGAAGCTCAGCAGCTGACTCCCGGGGGCCAAACTGGTTTGGAGCAATGATTCTGCAGAGAAGAAAGGGATAGTAGAGGGTCAGATAACCTGGGAGGGCTGGGAAATCGAGTTGCCTTTGTGATTGATGAAAATACTTACCTTGACATTAGCTTTGCGACACTCATTACCACATGACTGTAGATGCGGAGCAGAAAAAGGCCAGATGAGCTCAAATGTGCAAGAATCACAGATGTGACTATAGCAGCAGCTGCCCTACCTTGCATGCTCAAAGTTATGGACTGCAAGTTTGTCAAATGACATGGGATTGATGAGATATCAGTGCACTTGATTGGTTTGGTTGTATCTCCTCCGCCATAGATACTTACATGGATTGTCATTATAGAGTGTAGAGATGACACTCACAAGGTGGTGCAGTTGCATGACAATTTCATCAGGGATTTCCACTGCCTTGGTTTCTACTTGCTTTTCCCTGCACCTTTTGCTGTCAAAGGCTGGAAGGTGGATGATTTCTTTTACAGCTTCCAGAGGCACCTCTTCCAGATGATGCTGCCGAGCCGAGCTCTTTGTTAGTGTCGGCTGTGATGTGCGACTCGCAACGATTTGCCTCAAGATTCGAAGTAGCGACTCAACATTCCAGTCTATAAGTCGACTGGTCTTCTCGTCCAATCCATGGATGCTCTTGTCATAAGATACAGGGCCCTGTACCATAGGAACAAACTTCTCATTACTCAGCACATTCGAATGGTCACTGCCGGCACGGTCATTACGCCCGGCAATCCAGTAGGTTTCAAGGCAACCTGTCAAATTGCAGAACCATTAGCAAGATTCGATTGGCTGGCAAACAAAACCATCCACAACTCAGTTACAGGAAGTACCTTTTCCTTTCAGTTCAATAGGCTCCAGCCTCTTTTCAAGCCAGTGCTCTTTTCCCGCTATCTTAATGAGTTCTGCTGTTTCTTTCGAGCAATGAATCCTGGAAGGAATACCTGAACTCTCAATTCTACCACAGGTGTTGACAGTCTACCAGCGTTTGAAGAATACCGGGGCAGAATTGGCCACACATTCAGTGCAAGGTTGCATAATAATGCTTCCACTTAATTAAACTTACATCGCCAAAAAGCTGGAACCGAGCTCGTTCCCCACGAAGGACACCAGCTGTCACAGGGCCAGAGTGAATGCCTGGAGGTAGAAAGGATAAATTTTTGTTAAGTCAAGTGCAAGCATGGGCAAATTGCAAGTTGCAGATTGCTGATAATGAAACCTACCAATCCTGAGCTTGAGGTCGCCTGTGTCTGGTCCCAAGAGCACCTCCAGTTCCTTGGTCAGCACATTCATCCTTTGAAGGATGTCTTGCCCAAACTTGGCCATTGCCAGGGCATGGTCTTTTCTGGGGTCTATCAATCAAGGTTAAATTGGATAATGTGAGAATCCAGCTAGCGAAAGTTGTTAATGTTCAGGGCTGGTATACTGCTGGTATCCTCTTTACCTGGTAGGCCACAAACAGCTGAAAGGATCAATGACAGCATACAGGTGATTCAGTAATGAGCTGTGCTGTAAGGAGGCTACGGAAGAAGCTGTGGCAAAGTATGTGACATCCTAGGGAAGCACTCACCAACATAGCAATCACCCACTGTTTCCACTGTCACAGTAATGATGGAACAAACGATTAGAGTCACGAAGGCATTAGCTCAATGACTAGACTGTCAATACCTGTGAATTTCTTGCTTACCTTTGAAGACACGCCGACGTTGAGCAATGAGATCAAATGAACCATAAAGAGTTTCCAGGAGAATGAATACTTGTGATGGTTCTGGAGTAGAGAAAACATAGCAAGGAACAAGACAAAATCTGAGATAAACATGTATAAGGTGCTTCGATTGATTCTACAAGGCTAGCCTACCTCTAACAGAACTCCAAGCTGTGACAATAGAACGGGTTAGCAACGGGGGCAACATGCACTGACTATAAGCAACCATCCATCTGGAGCCTTACCAGTAAAGCCTGATATGTCCGCATACAAAACCTGGCATAAAAGGGGTGATGATGTCAGGGCACGGGCGACAAAAGAAATATTCAACAAGAATATTAACCCACCGTTGTTTCAAGATACAAATCAGCCAGGGGCGCATCATTAATATCAATGCTCTTGGCTGTAAGATCCGTGCCATCATTCAGAAACACAGCTGCCTTCGACTTGATTTTCTGTTCAACTGACTGCTTTTGTTTGGCTTGATTCATCAAGCGGTCTCTCATATGATCGGGGAACAAGGAGGTCACGATACTGTTACTCTGAGCAGCCTGGTGGATGAGGTTGGTGTTCCTCCTTTGCTGCATCATGTCGTAGATAAAGAAGGAAACTGCCACAAGGGCAAATGTGGCTGCAATCACTGCTGCAAAGATTTCGGGTGTGTTGGTGTCGTAGAGTTCTTGGAAGGTTGTGCTTGGGTAGATATGCTGCAATGGGAGGGAGATGAACATGCGCACATGTGAGATACATTGCTGAGCTGACCAGGTCCACAAGGTGAAACAAATGTTAAACTGACCATGGAGTAATGGCAGGGTCCACCTGGGCCACTCTTGGCAACCTCTCTGAAATGAGGGTGAGTAGACAAATCCAGACTAATTTCTACTTCCATTTCGTCAAAATCTGTCTCATGGTGATCCCCAGGGCCAAGGTAGAAAGCATCACCTCCCACAATGTTGTACCTACATTGAGGAAAAGTGGTGATGAGTCATGGATATCATTTTCTTTCTCCATAGAACACAGTTTCATGCAGGCAGACAATTACTTACGTGTAAGTTTGGTTGCATGTATTCTTGATGACTACATGGATTCCTTCCACTCCTGTAGGTAGCAAGTTCAAGAGAGGAGCATCCCAAGCCATGGCCCCAGAAATTGTGGCAGCAACACCTGAGCTCTTATTGCCAGGCTTTGCATAGACTGGGTGCAAAAAGAAGGAATGAGGGTTGGACACATTGGAGTTTTTGAGCTTAGAGTGGTACCTGGCATGCTCTTGTGGTGAAAATGCGATTGGGATTCCAGGATGTCTTCTGACTTCGGTAAATAGAGTCTCATTCTGCAGTTCAAACATGGCAGCCATCAGTTGTGGGAAAACAAGTTCAACATTCACGTTGATGCCACCATGAGTGACTGGAGGAGGACTGTATGACCACGCAGGGAAATAATACTCTCGAGGTTCTGGGTCGGGAATGACCCCCTCTGGAGTTAACAATGTCATGTCGTTGACGTAGGTATTTTCACCTCCCTTGAGTCTCTGAAGGGATCCCATTTGCTGCATGTGACTCTCAATCACCCAGCCTTTGTTCTTGTTGGCATAGTCCAGCCAGGCTTCCTTCTGGTCGGCTCTCACAAATGGACTATAGGCAATAGTCTCAATGTGGGCTTGCTTGATGATGCCAGGAGCAATAGTCTCAAATGTAGGGAGGGTGACAAATGGAAAAAACTCTTTGTTCTTATCACTGTGGGCCCAGACAGAGATGAAGTTTCCTAGCTGGTCCAAGCCATCTCTCAACTCTTGCATTTGCTTCACTGAAGTCTCACTAAGAGCACGAGAGAACTGCTGGAACTGTCAATGACAAAGAGATACCTGTGGTTAGTTCACCCACTCAATAATGTCAGGGCATGCAGCAGAAACTATAGTAACTTACGGCAGTCTCAAAATTGTTCTTTTCCTCTTTCTTCAGTAGAGTGTAAGTGGAGTAAGTCACAACAAAGGCAGTTACCAGTAAGGCGCCTGTGGCCACTAGACGCCAGAGCTGGACACTTCTGGTGTCCTTCTTAGCCATCTTTTGGACCTCCTTGATCTCATCTCTCTTCACAGGAAATGGGTCTTCCCGAATTGCTGTAGTCGAGGTGCCCATCTCATCAAAATTTGAACCGATTGACTCGAGGTCATCATCGTCACCAGAAACAACCGAAGTAGTTGCCTTGGACTTCATGATCAATCAGTGAAGTTCAATGGAAGCGTATAGTTAATCGAGAGCAGAAAACGTGGAGAGAGTGAGCGGAAGAATGTAGCAAGGTTGTTGCGATGCAATGGGGCACGAGGGATCAGCGTCCTGGGCGGAGAAGGAATATGGCGGGTTGGAAGACGAGGATCTCTTCAGTTGGGTCTCTTCGTCAAGCCGGCTTCACCAAGAAATCATAGAGCCACTGGTAAGAAGGAAGAAGTGAGACGAGGCCAACTTTCAGCGCACTTCATCTTCTATGCAACCTGGAAGAAACGGTGAAAAGGTTCGACCACTTGCTTGACGCGGTCATTCGGAAAGTCACAAGCGACTACCATCGAGTGGAGAGGAACGTACGAATTAAATCGTTGAACTCATAGCTACACACGCTTAAGCCTTCTAATCAGGATTCCAGAAGAAATTGGTTTAAAGGTGGGTACCCAAGCATATTTCGCTAGCTAGAAGGTTTCTTCAATATAGCGTTCTACAGAACATAAACTTTCTGATTCCACCAGTCTTCCAAGAACAAAATTTTATAGAAGTAGCTGCACAGTGCGCAGTGCACAAGACAAACTACTCCGACAACCAGTTGCTGACCGGTGAATGACCGGTATGATCTGCCGTGACACTCGAGTACTGACCTGTGAATGATCGGTATGATCTGCGAGAGACTGCGAGGATTCAAAAAGCATTTATCAATCAAATTTTGGTTTAAAGGGTGGGTACCCAAGCATATTTTGCAACCCCCCCAGAACATCAACTTTCCGATTCCACCAGTCTTCGAAGAACAAAGACAAAGCTTCCTCGATCGCAGCTACACCAGAATTAAATTCTCCTCCTGAAGATGGTACATGAGAAGAGTCACAACCGATCTGTAGGGCTCCCATCCACGTTCCTTTGCAAGAGCATCCATCAGGTTGCGGTTCTCCCCGTTGTCCGCGAAATCTGCGGCGGACTCCACGAGTGTCTCGGATGCATGATTGTGGTTGATGTCGTAGAGATCATTCAGGTAGTTTCTAACCGTCAGATCCCCATACAACATAATGTCAGCACGACGAAGGAAAAACATCAGCACGCCACCGGCCGACCAATCTCCAATGCCTCTCAGGCTCGTGAGCATCCTGGCGGCTTCGCGGTCCGAAGCCTTAGAGATCTTTTCGGCAGAAACCTTTCCACTTTCAAAATCTTCCACGAGAGAGATGATGAAGCTTGCCTTCGTATTGGAGTAACCAGCACTAATGCCGGTGCTGTTCTCGCGAGCCTTGTTGAGAAAAACTTGAGGGTCGTCTCTCATTCCGCATGGGTGGGTTGGTCCACAGAGGTGCGGCCATCCCGTCCGTTTTCCCTGCTTGATCTTGCACTCGTCAACCAGCGGACGCAGCAGTGCATGAGTGAAAACCACGTCGCGAGAGCGTCCTTCGAGGAATGGAGCCAGATACGCTGTCGTGGAAGCGTCCAAGGTGCCCGCAGCCGTGTGCTTACGCTCCAGGCATATGCCGGCCTTGATGGCCAGCCGCCTCATGAAAGACTCTCCGGCTTCAACCGAGATCTGCGTAAAAGTAATGGAACGCAAACACTGATCAAAGAAACGACCCTGAGACAAGTCCTTGGGCTCACCAACGTCGTTCGCCAGCGCAACTGCTCCAACGCGCGCGAGGATTGCTCGGAGCTTTGCATCCTTCGCCATCAGATGCGAAACACCTTTCTGAACCGTCTCATGGTTCAATATTAGGGGAGGTGTCGTGTCCGAAAAGCGCAGCAACGACACTTTCGCCAGGGGCCTTTCTCCATTTTTCTTCAAACCCTTTTGAGCTGTGGGCTTAGGCGGGAACAGCCATTGACGAACTGCCAAAGATGCCCGACCGTTCTTCGCATCTTCCTTGGCTTGCCTCACGGCGACGGGGTCACCCTTGTTCACAAGAACCTTGTTCAAAGGCTTGTCTTCGTCGTCGGCGGCGGCGGGTTTGGCCTTTCCATTCATATCTTCTTCTTCTGTTACTTCAGCCATCATGTCCTCGTTGGGCTCGTCGTCCATGTCGTTGCCACCTTTGTCGAGAAGCCTTGCAAATGACCCGGAATTTCCTGCATCTTGCAGTGTCTCTCTCCATTTCTTCGTCACCGTTCCCTTCTTTAGCTGCTTCTTGCCTCCAGCAGCCAAGGTGGCCTCCAAGTCAACGCGCTCGCGATACTTCTTGGCCACTGGGGCTATATACTGTCGGAAGAAGTTGCCGGCGAGGCGAATATTTGCAAACTTTGCTTCCTCAATCGTGTGCTCCGCGACTATGACAACAAGCAGCAGCTGCTTTTCGGTCTGCCCTGGCCGGTCCACACGCCCCTTCATTTGCTCAAGAAGGTCACCCTCTGTAGGTCGACAAATGATGCAGTCGGCGTGGTGTTGCATGTTGATACCTTGCCCCTCAATGCTCTTCACTGCAACAATCACGCCATTTTCGTTCTTCTTTGCGTCATTTTTGCCTCTGGAGGAGTTTGCAATCCGCTCTGCGGCAACATCTTTCCACATTTGAGCCGGGATACGTGCTTTGGTCATCACAGTCACCAGATGCGTAGCCTCAGGTTCCGTATCGGCAAAAACAAGAGGACGCCGCTTCTTGCGCAAGAGCTTGTTCGCAACCTTGATGATTGCGTCGCCCATGATAGACTTCCGTCCATAACGTGCACCATCCCGGCCCTCATAGTGAGTGCGAAGAAAGCTTCCCAGCGACGTCCAAAGTTTCCGTCCGTCTACCTTCCCAGGGTCGTTGAGTTGCAATCTCCCGTATGTGTCGACTTTGGTACGGTATAGGCGCAGAACCTCGGGTGGCAGCTTGACCATTTCTGCCTCCATAGTCCAAGTTCGGTCGGTTTCCGGAATCTGGCAAACGATATGCTCGTGGATTGTGGCTGGGAGCCATTCCATTGTCCTCGGCAGTGGCGACCTCAGCATTCGGATCATGTAGAACAGCGAGTCGTATTTTGAACGGAAAAAAGTAGCCGACAGCATCAGCACGCCGCACATGGATACTTCAATTTGTCTCCACGCCGAAGGAGCTCGCTTCGCCGAAGCATTTTGCACTGAGAGGCACTCATCAATAACGACAAAGTCCCATGCCGATTGTCGCAGAAAAGGATTCCTACACACTCGATCCAAGGTTGATATGATCAGGGAGTTGCCATCGATCGGTGGGTTTTTCTTTCCATATGTCATTGAGAAAAGAGTGCCATCTTCTCTCTGCTCAACGACATGAAAGCCGGCAGTATGGGTCGCAATTTCCAGCAGCCACTCTTTGATCAAGGCCTTGGTGGGAAGCATGACAAGGACCCCATGACGAGAACCACCAGAGTCTTCAATCCACTGGGCAAGTCGGGCAATGGTGGCCAGAGCCGTCAAGGTCTTACCAGCCCCAACTGCCGACGCATCCGCATGTCCTCGTTTGCCTTCTTGTACACCCTGAACAACTTTGGAAACAGATGCTTCTTGATGCAGCCAGAGTTCAGTTGTCACTTTAGGAACCGGGAGGTACTCTTTGGGCAACAAATCCTCATCACAAACTGAATGGTCACTGCAATCACTATCTGCCTCGCGGGTTGTTGGCTTCTTCTCTCTGCCTGTCTTCCTGCCATGATCACCGGCGAAAAGATTCGATGTCTTCTTCATGGCACTGGCGGCAGCAGCACGTTTCGGTCGCTTCGTTGGTTGTGGCGAACGAGAGCTCACGGCTGAATCAATGCCCCGTTTTCGACGCTTCCTCGAAGGTGTTGCGGATTCTGCTTCTTTTGGTGACTGCCCATTTGAACCAGATCGATTCTTCCCGGGGACATCAGACTTCGCCAAACCCTTCCCACTGTTGTCCGCCTCCAGAAGGCCGGGAGAGCACTCGGCAGACGTGACGTTTTGTTGGCTTTTCGCTTCCCCCCGACCCAACAGTTCCAAGCAAGCCAACAAATGATAGAAAGCAGCCCCTCGAGGCCGTATGGAAAATTTGAAAGCACCAAACTTTTTGAGCACGGTGGGATATAATGATTCCAATGCATGAAAGAGTCTGAGGACAACGCCTTCGGTCATATCACCGGGAGCGCCACTCCCATCCGGACGAATACCCCTTCCCAGCACCACATGGTCTTGTTCCCGCGTCCGTATTGCCAACAATACATCTCTCCATGTCCTAGAGGGAACTGGACTCAGTGCGGTCAGTGGCAGCCAGTCATAAATCAAACCTTCACAGGGCCTATCTGGGGAAGAGAGTCGGTAGGCACAGGCGAGATCATGCAGCGCAGACATGCTCTCCAGCAGCGCCTCGGCGTGAGAAGGGGTTTGGGATTCTTCCACCGAAGCAGCCCCCTCCACGTAAAACGCAACTCGTAGGAGACGAGCCCTCCCAGATCCTGGTTCGATAGGCACCGGCTTAATGGAGGGATCATCAAGGTCCAAAGCACAGGGCGACACAACTGGGCGCGCATCAAAGGGCTCCACCTCAACGCCTGCAATCGTAAAGCGCCACGTCTTCTTCCCGCTCCCATTGTCCACAAATTCCGCCGTTCTCGTCACTGACTTTTCAGCCTCCTCCCAGTCTTCGTTCTTGGCTCCTTCTGACTTGTTCCTCCCAAGTTCCCATTGCACTCCCAAAGCAGGTAGAGGCAACGGCATAGTCAGCCCACCTTTCCAATACTTTGCCACTTCAAGCTCGGCTGCTTCCATCAACCTCGCTTCTTCTTTCGACCTTGTTCGTTGCACATAACCGAGCGATGGCACCGCCGTTGCCCCTGATTTGGAGCCTCCTGCCAGTTCTTTTCCATCCTTCCTGGCCTTCCCAATTCGCTGCACCAGTAACGGCTCGTCGGGGTCACCGCAGAACATGGCGCTGACAGTCTCCTTCTTTCCATCCGTGCCGTCAGGAGACACTTGGACTTCCACAGCGGAAGCAAACGCAAGAAGGAATGCCACACGGCCGTCAAAGGCGGACACAGGTTTTCCTGCTTGAACACGCACAGTCGCTGGAAAGCTAACCACCCCATCTGGTATAGTAGCAGAGGATGTCTCCGTAGCTGGATTCGCTGTGGGTTGAAGCTGTTGAAAGAGACCCTTCAGCTGCAAGTTCTGAATAGCCTCGTAGCAATCCACCAATTCTGCCTCTTTTTCTGACAGCTCACCCGTGTTGGTTACAACTTCACGAAAAGATTCAACCGCTGTATTGCCTGCTGCAGTTGGCGTATCCGCTGTTTGTGGTGGTGGTGATTTGGATTTTGTTTGCTTCTTTGTACCCCAAGTTGCCAGACGCAAAAGCTGAACGCTTTCTTGATCCCTCGGATTCACATTACTGATCAGTTTTCGAATATGTTTGGACAAAGCAGGAAGGCTGTGCTTCTTCCAATGCGTGGGAGGTTGTTGGAGCAACGCCTGAAGCAGCACCAAGGTAGACGGCATGGCAGTGGGATCGATTGCAGACAACCGACACTCGTGATCTAGCTTCTTCAGGCGAAGTTCGGGCGGAATGGATGGACTACGGCCTTGTTCCCAAGCCGCCAGAATCTTGCTTTCATCTTCACCACTGATACTAGGACCCGGAGCAGGTGGAAGAACCGATCCATCCCAGTCGTCATCGTTCAAGTACGCAATGGCTGCACCCGCCGAAGTGTCACCGACAAAGCTGTTCCACTTGCCCCATGCAACTCGTCCTCCCACAGCAACTTGGGTGGCACGAAGAACATTGCGGAGAAGAACCGCACGGGGAGAATCCAATTCGTCCTCTGTATCTTTTGTTGCTGGCATGTCTTCCAACTGCCACCAGTCCTCGCGCCGTTTCACAAACCCCACCCATTGATTTGATGGAGCGGTCGCAGCTCGGATAGCGGCCGCAACAGACAACCGATTCAAGGGTGGCGGGAGCGTCCAGTCTGGATTGGCCTTTGCCACGAGCGACAGCACGAGCAAACCAGGTAGACCTAGACAATCGTCCGCGTCATCAAAGGGAGCGGCATCGACCAGCATGCAGCCCCAGACTGTCTTGAGAAATGCCAGGGTGGATCCTGGCAGAGGATGCTGGTTGTTGTTATTGTTGTTGTGAGCGCGTCGCCGCAGTAATAGAGACGCCGAGGCATCCAGTAGCGGCGCAATGGTACAAATGCCGCCCTGCTGCGTGGACCCGGCAGCCCGTCGAATGGATTTCTCCAGCAGGGAAGCTGGTAGTTTGATATTGACAACCTGTTTGGAGGGTGTCGGGATCAAGTTCTTGCCAGTGTCAACGGCAATCGTGTCGTCGTCGTCACCCTCGCCCTCGTCGTCACCCAGATCGGATTGTTGATGATGGATGAGGGATTCGGGGGCTCCCACTAGCACCGGCGGCAGCTCGCGTCCTTCTCCGTTTTCAATAATGGCCCATTGCAGAGCCTCCACGCTTTTGTTGTTGGCATCCAGCATGTCGGTGTAATGACAAACCGATGCCGTCACTTTGGCGTTGCCGTCCCACTGGATGACCACCACAATGGGCCCCTTCTGTAGGTTATTGCTTTTCCTCTTTTGATTGTTGTCTTCTTCTTGCTCGATTATTTCGTTACCATCCGGAATCAATCCTGCCGCATTGAGTCTCGCCTTGGCAAATTCCCACGACGTAAACGTTGGATCGGCGACTGCCTCCATATCATAGGTTGCCTTGGGGACGAGAATGCGTTCCTCATCAGTGACGATCTTTTGAAGGTGTTGATGGAGATCTTGGGCGGAATCAAACGTCTTGCCGACGGCATTTTGCAGAGATGGGGGATCCGGAGCCGCCACCACCAAGAGACGCCCCGGCAAACTCCAATCACACGATGCGGCTACAAAGGGTTTGATTCCATCCAGCGTCCGAATGGTGAACCCACTGATGGGGCATTTTCCGAGAGATCCACGAGGCAATCCCCGAACCGCAATGCTGCGGGGGTTTAGCTTCTTCTTGTCCTTCTGGCTGGGAGCACGCTTGGTGGGAGTCTTCTTTTTGTTTCTGTCCGATGGCGTCTTCTTTGCTGGACTACTAGGTTTCTTCTTTTTGGCGGGGCTCGGGGTCACAGGAACAGACGTTTTCTTCTCGTCTTTCTCTAGGTTACTCAAGAACTCTTCGTCGTCGTCACTCCGACTTGCTTCCTCCTCCATGTCACTGGTGTTGTAGCCATCATCCTCTTCCTTGGCTGCCAGGTCCAGGTGCTTGGTTTGCTGATGCTCCGAGGGAGTTGGAGTGACCACGTTGGAAATCATTTTGCTCTTGTTCCTTGTTCTTGGAGTGGACGCTACTACATGTACGGAGCTTTGATTCATGTTTCTCTTTCGTTCGACTAGATCAAGGATCAACTCGTCATCTCTCTCGTCGTCGTCACTGAAATCATCAGGGCTGAAACTGTAGGATTGGTGTAACAAATCCGCATCTGATTCTCCTTCTTCTTCAAGGTCAGAAGCCTCTGAACGATCCTTTCGTTTCCTCTTGATGAGATCACGGATCAATTCCTGGCCATCCTCATCCTCATCATCAGTACTACCGGAACTGGATCCATCTACAATTTCCATGTCATTGGTGGATTCTTTCAATGTTTTCATTGCATTGCTTGAAGCAGCACTCACATCAGGACTGACAACAACACCGCGCTTACTGCCATTGCCTGTGACCTCAGTAGTAGACTTTGTGTGAGATTCCACGGTCAGCGCTTCAGTGTTGTTGCCTTGGATAGGATGCTTAATACTAGCAGTAGTCGCAGCGGCTGGACCGACCATTTCTGCGTCTGCACCGAAGGATCGTCTTGGTTTTGGTCCACGGCGAGACCTTCGCACTGCTGGTGTCGTCATGGTTGCCTTGCCTTGGCAGTGTACTACTAGTACTGTACCTATCTATCAATCAATCATGTGAATGCCAACAAAAATGAAGGGAGGCAGATGATCACAAACATGTTGTGCTCTTTCCATCCGTGTCGTGTGGCTGTGCTGACGTCCGCCGTCCCGATGATTCGAAGTCCCGAGTGTTCTCTATCCAAAATTGATGCCAATACGTTCATATCTATTCGAATGATTCGATTCAATTCAATTCGAGCCAATCCATTGTCCTTGGCAGTGCATTCGGATCATGTAGAACAGCGAGTCGTACTTGGAACGGAAAAAAGTAGCTGACAACATCAGCATGCTGCACATGGATACTTCAATTTGTCTCCACACAGCAGAAGGAGCTCACTTTGCCGAAGCATTTTGCACTGAGAGGCACTCATCAACAACAATAACGACAAAGTCCCATGCCGATTGTCGCAGAAAAGGATTCAGGACTACACGCTCGATCCAAGGTTGATATGATCAGGGAGTTGCCATCGATTGGTGGGTATTTCTTTCCATATGTCATTGAGAAAAGAGTGCCATCTTCTCTCTGCTCAATGACATGAAAGCCGGCAGTAGGGTCGCAATCTCCAGCTTCTCAGCCACTCTTTGATCAAGGCCTTGGTGGGAAGCATGACAAGGACCCCGTGACGAGGACCACCAGAGATCCCCCTCCAGCCCCCGAGCTCTTACATGGCGATCTTTCCATTCATGGCTTGTTCGAACATAGTACTACAGATATTATTGACGTACATGTCACTGATTTAGACTGTGCCTCTTACCGAAACAAAGATCCCGTCAAAGTTTTAACCCAACAAGAACGCGACAAAATTTCCAAATATAAAGAAGTGTGCGACTCCAATCGCGCTTCCTTCCATCCCTTTGTTGCTTCTGTGGATGCCATGCTTGCCCCCCAAGCCAAGACTCTCTTACGACGCCTTGCTTCTGCTACTGCCTTCAAAACTCAATTTTCCTACTCTCAAATGATGTTCTTCATGCAGACCCCTATCCCCTTGTGAAAGCTTCCCATTTATGTCTCCGTGGATCCCGCAAAGCCAAACCCTTTGCCCCCCGTAATGGTCCTCAATTTCTCGCCCCTGGTCCCACAGAACCTAGTCCTGAATTTCGACTGTTCTTTGCTTATTAAAGGCCTGGCCTCGGCTGGCTTCCGTAGAAATTTCCCTACTTTACCCCCCCCGCCCATATATCAGAATCGAATCGAGTACTCTAGCTAGTACTGCGAAGGTAGTCTAGCTGGGTCCAGCTAGTGGTCATTTTAAAATGAGACCGGGTCATAAATGAGGGCGAACATCGTGGAACACAAATCTTTTTCTTGCTTCTGGGGTTGATCGACTCCCCACTAGCCCACAGTGAGGTTAGCACTTGGAAGAGACTCAACTCCAATCACACCCTTCTACGCTACTGCCACCATGAAGGTCCTTTCTGCCCTTGTCGCTTACTACTGTCTGGCATGTACTAGTCTTGTTTCGTCCGAGCCTGGTTTGTTGGTGGGGAACACTCGTGGAGGAGATGAAATCCTTTTGTTTGGATTGGAAAGCGGTTCGGTTGAGCCGTTTGTGCTACCTGGTATCCTCGAAGCACCGGATCATATTGTGGAATATGGTGGTTACTACTACATTTCCACTGGAACCACGGTCAACACATCAGCCATTGCGCGAGTGCCCACTACCTTTGACAGTGGCGATGATGATGTCGAATTCTTTGCCTTTGGGGGAGGCTTGAAGCGACCGTACGGCTTTGATTTTGATGGCGCGATTCTGTACGTGGCCAGTTTCCTGACGGATCAAATTCTCATGTACTGGGCCGATTCGGGAGACTACCTGGGTGTCTTTGCGCAAGGCAACCGCACCGAAGAAGGACTCTGCAATGGTCCCAACCAAATTGAAATTTACGACGGCAAACTCTACATGACAACACAGGGAAGTTTTATTGATGAACTGGGAGACCTCAATTACGCGTTTGCCAGTCAGACGGTCGTGTACGATTTGGAAACGGGAGAAGGACAAGTCTTTATTCCGCAACCAGAACCCGACCCTGAAGGCATGGGATTCATTAGTATGTTGGGTTTGAAAATTGGCTGTGGCGATGAATCCATTTTAGACGATGATTGCACGGTTTATACCACGGACTTTGCGGGAGGGTTGCGGTTGTATGCCTTTTCGACTCAAGAATTGATTGATTCGCAGTCCACTACGTATGCACCAGGAGCCGCCACGGGATCGTTGACCTTGGGAGACGATGGCACCATTTATATTGCTGGTTTCGACTCGGAAGAGAGTGGCGCCATCATGTCCTTGATGCCTGATACGGATCCAACCAACACTGGGACCCTGTCCATCATCTACAGTAGTTCAATGGAAGACCTGGCTCGACCTGTTGGAATTCTATTTGTTGAATCGTTGGACGACGAGGAAAACTTTCCAGTTGGCCCTCCCGAGGTATCCGAAGACGAACTGGCGACGACGACAATGGCGCCATCACCTGCTCCCACTACAGCTGCCTTGGGGGAGTTGCTGGACTTTTTGGAAAGCAGCACATCGGGAGAGGTTTTGCAGGACAAGACTTCTCCTCAATATTCGGCTGCCATGTGGTTGGGAGAAAAAGACACTTCGGGGATGAGCGATGCAAAGGTGCTTCAAATGTATGCCCTGGCAACCTTCTATTATGCTTCAGGAGGTGACGATTGGAGCCTTTGTGGCGCGAACTCACTCAGTTGTGGTGACACTCCTTGGTTGTCTGACGATAATGAGTGTAACTGGGCCTTTGTTAGTTGTGATGCTGATGGTGCCGTCGACCAGATTGCTTTTCGTGAGTTCTGAGTGAGAATTGGCTGCATGGATTGACATCGCAGTTAAAATTTACTCAACTCCTTCTCGTTGAATTGCAGCTGCCAGCGGAAATGATTTGGTTGGAGTCTTGCCCCCAGAGCTTTCCCTCCTGTCTGGACTGAAGAGATTCCTCGCTCCTGAGAACTCTTTGAGTGGAGACTTGGATGTTGCTTTTGGGGGGTTGACCTCCTTGGAGACACTTGCTATGCCTGATAATCGACTGTGGGGAACTATTCCTACTGGAATTCTCCGCAGCAACTCACAGCTCGGACTACTTGCTCTTGGAGGAAATCAGTTTTCTGGGACCATCCCGTCGGCTATTACTGGGGCTTCTATCCTCAGTGATCTACAACTGGACTATAATTCACTCACAGGAACCATCCCTGCGGATATTGGAAGCCTTCTGCGGCTGAGTGAGTTGATGAGGATGATCAATTCAGTTTTATTGGGGTGTAGTTGCTCATTCATGTCTTCCATTTCCGCAGCCAACATAGAGATTCAGGGCAACAACTTCGCAGGGTCCGTTCCCAACGAGCTTTACTCCTTGAGCAGGCTAAAGACCTTATCAATTCGAGAGAATACTGGAATCAATGGTACCATCAGTCCTTTGATTAGCCAGCTTACTGACTTGAATGTGTTGCAGCTTGGATTCACTCAGCTTCGTGGCACAATTCCCGATGAGATGTTTGCATTGACTGATTTGTCCGAGATGAATTTGGAAGGAGCTTCCTTCTCTGGAACCATCCCTGAGGAGATACGTTTGCTTAATGCCTCTTTGTTTGACCTTTACTTGAATGACAATGCTTTCACTGGACCAGTGCCTGAGGCTTTTGACCACTTGACTGCTCTTGGTGCGTGCGTTGCTGAGCTCAAGGCATATACTCCCTTTTGTTTGGCTGCTGTTCGTTCTAACCTAGTGTTGCTCCTTCTTCCTCTCTGCAGAGACCCTGCAAATACAAGGGAATCAATTGACCGGCAGCATCTCAGCAGCTGTCTGTGCAGAACGTGGATTGCGATTCCAACAGTTGGCTACACTCATTGTGGACTGTAGTGTCGAATGTACTTGCTGTGATTTCTGTGAAGAATAAACTTCTAAAGACAACTTGCTTGTCTAGCTAGTCGCCAAATCAGCTCCGTCAAGTCTGCCTCGTGCTTGATCAACATGATGACAATGGCGTCCATTGAGCTAAGGATATGAACTACATGTATCTCTGTTGCAGATGGCTTTGCCGTAGTTCGAATCGTACCCATAGCACGTGACTTGTAATTCGTGGTCTTTGAGACGCATGTTGGACCACCTAGCTATAGCAAGGCGGGCGCTCCCGTTTCCAATGCTAATCTAAAGAGATTTGGCAAAGAAGGCAAGGAGTCTTTACCTCGGCAGTCTTGCTGCCAGAGCCCTCAACCCCTTTAATTGTTTTTCCTGCTACGGTGGTCCCTGAAGGTATAAGGGTAGGGTTAGAATACAAATAAGTCAGCAAAAACTAAATAAGTATCCTAGGATGGTGCTTTTACACCAGCTAAAGCTATTTACATGCATTCTAGTAGTAGAGGGTCTGCTTCTACCAGGAAAAACTCTAAAGCCAGCGAAAGCTATATAACTAGTATTCTAGCTAGCTAGGGTATCTGCTTCTAGCTTGCTATGGGAATCTGCTTCTAGCTAGGGGGAATCTGCTTCTAGCTAGCTAAGCGCAAGTTAAGCACTAGCTAAGCACTAGAGGTATCTGCTTCTAGCTAGCTAGCTAATAGGGGTATCTGCTTCTACACTGAAACCTTTTCTGCCGAGGTTACACAGCTCCGCTGGCTTATAAAATTTATTATAAAAAAACTGCGGACGAACACGCTAGCTAGCACGGGTTTACCGAGATTGATGGTACGTAGGTAAAACAGCGAAACAGAAAGATTCGATTCGATTCGATTCGTTTCCTCCAGTTTGTGTCAGTTTGGCTCTCGCACTTGTTTGTTTGCCTGCCCCTCGCTCGTGCGTCTGCCAGTCAAATCAGTTCCATTCTGGACGAATGCTTCCCAACAAGCAGAGAGAATAAGTGGGAGGATGGATGCATGAGACACTGTGGAAGGATTTCTGGGGTCTGGTAAATATTATATATATACCGTAGGCAACAGTTTCTTCGTCTCGTGCTACTACTCATCGCAACATTGGGCAGGCCGACAGAATCCATACGGTACGTGGAAGGATCGATGCATGCTATGCATGCAATCATGTGGCAAGTAACGGTACCGTACCGTTCTCTGGGGTCTGGTGAATTGGTGGATGGCAGATTGGATCGCTCATCGTGAAATAAGCAGCCATTTCTTCGTCTCGTGCTGGTCATCATCACCTTTCGCATACAGATAGATGCCGTTCCTATCAAGACTGCTCCAGACCGGATTTTTGCGTCGCTTTTCTGCCGTGTATCCAGTATGATATTGTTCAGAGAGGAATACCGGTAGCTACTGACACAGAAGAAAAACTCCACTAAAATCGGTCGAATATCTCGCGGGCCGACCGCATCCACTGCAGATTGATTGTCCCGTTCGTTTACGGTTAGGTGGTCGCAGTAGTAGTAGTAGTAATAGTAATATTTCCAATGAGTAGTAATGGCTCCAATCGTTTTCGTCGCTCGGGTGTCATGGTTCCCTTTTTGAGAAATTTGCGTTGACTGGCCCACCACGTTCCCAACTTGCGGCCCTGTTCCACATGCCGTAACGGAACTTGGACGTGTCCGTGTCGTTGCTGATATTCTTCCAGCAATGCCACCATGTCGTTCCACGTTTGATGGTGCTGATTCCACGCGACGCCCAAAGCTTCCAATTTGGCACGACGATTCAAGCTCATTTTGCCATTTCGCATGGCGGCGCGTTGCGTATTGAGCCAACTCCCGAGTTTGGCGTCGTGGTGTTGTTGTTGCCGTGGAAAATGGCCGTGTTTTTGACGAAATTCTTGTAGGCGTGTAAACATGTCATTCCAATGTTGTTGTTGCAGATCCCATGCCACTCCGGCTTGTTGGAGGCGAACGGCATATGTCGCAGAAAGTCGTTGTTGTTTGTACGCACGCCGTTGTTCCGACAACCATTCTCCCAAATGCCATCCGTCTTCTTCCACATGCCTCAATGGCACATGCACGTGACCTTCGCGTTGTTGATACACCATGAGCAAGTAAAACATGTACACCCAATACGAATCGCGGTCGATATAGTCGTCCGGATCGGGATCATCTGATAGAGTTGGACGACGATGACGAGGCAGGGAACCAATAGGTTGGAAAGAAGTAACAACACATCTTGATCTGGGGGATGCTGGGGCAATGAAAGAAGCTGACGCGTACACAGTTGGACTATAAGAGCTCAAGATCAGTAGTAGGAACCATGAAAAGACCACGCAAGAGCACGGCTGCCCCCTCATCCTTGGGTAGTCTAACAATAATGAGATGATGGGGGTTGGCGGTCACTGACGTCAAAGAGGCAAAATGACTGCATGTCTCGCTGTCAAAGATTGAATCATTCGTCGATAATTAATTGTGAGAGTATACAGCTCGCCTGACCTGTGGGAATGATGTGCTTTTTGACCAGCAGGTCGATCGTGGTTGCGAGAGTGGACAGTACATGTACGACTGTACGCTGGATCCGGAACAATCATTGTCTTATTGGACCCAGCCAGTGAAGCAGTGAACCTGTCTTGCCTCGATCGATGATCCAGCCGCCACCTCCTTGCTCGCACCAAGCTGCGCAAGAATTACCACTGGTAAGCATGCAGCACAGAGAGTTCTAGCACGGTAGGGCTGGCTGAATAGTAGCGTACCACCGTAGAGACGTCCAGAAAGAAATGATGCGATTCCTTGTCTGGCTGCCGTGTAGCTATAACGTGCTGTGGAAGCAACCGGCTCAATCTCGGACTCTGAATAACGGGATAGTATACAGCATTCGCTCACCGCCTTCATGCCGTGACAACCGCATGCAGCTAGCAATGATGCCATCGCTCCTTCCCTGGCCGACTTTTTCGCGGTCAAGTCAACGTCCTGCTGATCACGCAGTATCGTAGTATCGGTAGTGATATCTCCGCCATGGGCAAAAACTAGCCATGCACGAGTATCGTTTTAAAAGATCCCAATGATGGAGGCAGATGCTGCAATCACTGGGCCTTCCTGAGCGACCGGCGAGTGACTATCATACTCTTTTAGCTAGCTAGCTATCAAGTTAGTGTAGGAAAAGAAAATTTTCAAGTGGCAAACAGAGTTTATTTTTTAGTATGATTATCCTCTGTAGATCTGGCACATGTAAAGCTCTCCATCAGGGCCTTTGGCGGTGCCCATTCCAAATGAGATATACCTTCGGTCAATCATGTTATTGTAGTCTCCTCGCTTCTCCAACATCTTGCCATGCATGTGTTGTGTTGACTGTCCCTTTGTGACATTGGATCCTATTCTTCGACTGGGTTTGCCAAGGCGTGCGACAACGTCGGCAGGATCTGGATGAAAGGCACTTTCTTCCTTGGCAGCCATTTGTTGTGCATGCCACCGGGCCACTTCGTCCAGTTCGGGAGATCTCCTCAACGGAGGTACATTGCGCTTGGCTCGGATGCGGTTGACCATGACGTGGTTGCTGGTGAAAAAACTGGTTTTGGGTAGTTCCTTGGCGCGGGCCATGGTGATGTTCAAGTTGCGTTGTTCGTCTTCTCGGGTCTCGGGAGCAATCTTGACTGGGACGCCTTTGGCTCGTTGCGCCATTAGTACTTCTTTGGCCACCAGAGGTGCATGTCGGTGGTGACCACGGCAGTCGGAAGAATTCCAGCTATCGTCCATGGTGTCCTCTTCCATGGAGGTTTCGGTAAGATCAGTTTCCCATCTAGGAATGGCCGTGAAGTATTTGCCATCGACGGAAATGCGTTCTTGCTTTCCCTTTGACTTTTGTGCCTTGGATTTCTTCATGAAGATCTTGGAGAGTCGGATGCGGACCATATTGTGTGTGGTTGTTGTTTTTTCGTTGCTGGTGTTTTGGTTTTGTGAGCTTGATGAAACGGACACAACTTGATTTCAGAAAGACAAGTCTAAAACTAACTGAAGGCAAGCATGCAACCTCCAAGCACCGCGATCCTGACTGGGTTAATTTGTCTTGATGAGTGCCAAGACCACTCCCGTGAAGAGTCACGGGAAAAAGTTGAGCCTGAGTACAACATTTTTGCTTCAACTCCCTGGGACAGATTGAGTTGTGAAAGCTTGGGTACAATCAATTTTCTACATTATTGCTGCAGATTCTTCCCAGCCATTTTAAATAACGGGGAGATGAGGCATCCTGCACAATTCCGACGTGAACTTCAGACGTGACCTGGCTAGCTCTGGCACTCGAATTCTTCACAAGAGCAACGCACATTTTAATGCATACTGCGTACTAAAAATATCTACCTACGGTACGCCAATGTACATGTCATGTAGTACGGCACGATACCGGTCGCCGCACACCGCACCTTGCATGCAGCGCAGTGGAAAACAGCTTTACATGGGTAGATGGAGTATCATTAGATTTACTGCAAAAAATTTAATTTACCTGTACGCACAATCGGGTTTACCTCAGCTTCTAAATTTCAATTTGTCTTCAGTCAGGGGAGAACAGACCCATCTGTGCCGAGCTACCGTATCGGTACCAGTAGTAGAGCGTAGCATTGTGCTTGGGAGGTTTACGGCACAGCGGCTTGTACCTACTGGAAGGTGGTACCATTGATGAATCCCGCATGGGCCGACTCATCAGAATAAAACACGTGCTGAGTGACGTCATGCTGTTTTGCCGGGCTGGCGTTTCAACCGCAATTTGGAGTGATCGCCAATTGAACACGGGACTCAGTTTTGTTCATCACCCATTCATCACCCGTCATCACAATTCATCGCCATTCATCACATTTTCAACCACCATTCATCACGGTCAACTCCAATTCATCACGAATTCATCACGGATTCATCACCATGTCAACACATGAAATGGAGACCGATGGTGCTTCTAACAGCAACACCAACAACACCAACAACACCAACAACACCAACAACACCAACAACACCAACAACACCAACAACAACACTGTGGATGCCTCGGACAGTCTTGTTGAGTGTGCCATGGGTGTTCAGTGGAAGAAATCGAAGACAAAAGCTATGCTCAGAGCCAACATCTTGATCAAGAACATCACAGCTGAAACGAACCTTCGAGAGCTCTATGACAGCATGCCACAGTACAATCAGTGGCCATGGCAGCAGTTCAGCCGAAACACCAAGTCATTGATAACTTCTTGCAACAACCCCAACAGCAAGTCGCAAAATGGAAGAACAGTCCAGCCAGAGAACAGCTCAGAGCTGATGTCATCTCTGGAAAAGTCAATGATTCCATGGATCCAAGTGATGTCCATGCGAGCAGACTTGAATATCAGCAGTACGCACTCAGCAATTTTACAGGGTATTTGGAGACCATGATTAAATCGATCCTTGCAGATTTTGAAAGGATGGCCGTGGACTGTGAAGCATACGGTCATGACATTGCAATCATCCACCAAAGGTGGGAGGACAATGCACCCACAACACAGAGGCCTTGGCACAGAACAATCTGCCCGAAAAAGCTGAAAGAAGATGTTGATACTGGAAAACATTTGGTGATCGACCGTGATACTGGAAAGAAAATCTCGGCCAAGAAGCTTCGTCAGTCGAGACACTGCTACAAGGAGTTCGATCTCAAAGTTTTTCGCAAACATCTTTATCAAGAGATTGACAAAAGGGGCAAAGTGGATGTTCGCATGTCAAAAAAGCGATTTAGGATCAAACCTCCACCTGATGTTCAATTTGATGTTGTTGGCAATGAACCTAAGCGTACGAAAACTACAGCAGTTGTCTAGATGAAAGATACGGCGGCATAGGATAGGATTGCAGCTTTTACATTAACCAAACTGTTACTACTTTTATTTTTCTGTTATACTATTTTCCTCGTTTGTTTTGCTTGTCTTCTTCTTATTTGTTGCCACCAATACCACAATACTCTACTGGTCTGGCTGGTTGTTCAGGCTTCGACTGTGCTGCTATCATAAAACCCGTCTTGTTCATCAGTAAAAGCTCCAGAGCTGACAGTGTGGATGCTGTGATTGATGTCATTGTTCAGATCATCAGTGAGCTGATCGATTCTCGTAAACGTGTCACCAGAACCGCCTTTGGTGTGTGTCAAGTCAGCATCATTGACGACTTTCTGATTCATTTTTGCTGCGAAAGCTCTCTTCTTATCAATTGTTGCCTGTCGCTTTAAGCTTGACATGTTTACACGAGACTGGACTCGAGCACTAGTGGCAGAATGCACTGTCGGCTTGAACAGCTTGAGACGTTCCTTCTCGACGTTTTCGATGTTGTTGTCATCCGTGAGGAAAGTGTACACACTTTCTGCTCCTGCTGTTCCATCTGCCGTGGGTGTATGGAATTCGAAATCGACATTCGAGCCTTGAGAAGAAGACGATCCAAGAGGCACTTGATGAGGGCCTCCAACAATAAACTCGTTTGTAGTGTTGGTTTGAGGAGGGCCACCTCTCATTACGGAGGTCGCAGTGCTTCCAGTAATGGCACTGCCCCCACCCTCAGATCCACCAGGCTGAACAGTCATCCACTGCTGCATCTGCTGCTGCATCTGCTGCTGCATCTGCTGCTGCATCCTATTGCGTTCCTCTTGCATCGCCTTGTACATGTCTTGCTTCATCTGTTCCTGCATCTGCTGCTGCTCTTGGAGATACTGTTGCTGCATCTGCTGCTGCAGCTGTTCTTGCTCTTGACGGTACTGTTGTTTCAAACGTTGCTGTGCCTGAGAGTATGGATGAAGCAAGTCTGTGAGTTGAAAGTTTGAATACAATTGGTTAAGCAGTGGTGGACAACAATGAGAAATGCAAAAGAAGAGCTCCAAAGAGATAAAGAAGTGCGTGGGCAGATGGAGACAGAACATAAAAAGATTGTGCTGCAGGCATCAGCCCGCACACATCTTTACCTCTTTGAAGCTTTTATGCATTTCTCATTTGTATGTCAGCACTGTCCAGCACAAAGCGCCAAGCAACCCACAGACTCACCTTCAACTGCTCAGCTCTCTGCCGAGCTTTCTGCCGTAAGCTGTTCTGCGCTGCTGTGCAAGCTGTTGAGCAAGCTGCCTGCTGCTGGGCAAACTGCTGCTGCTGCGGGGGGGGTGAGTGCCCTGTGCATGCTTGCTCCCAAGCCACTGTATCCGTTCATAGTAGCTTGGACTCTTGTCTGTTTGCTCGGCACAACTGGTACTCTCTTGATGCTGCATCCAGCAAAAGCATTGGCAAGAGTGTGTTCTTCTTCCTCCATTGCATTCAGCATTCTTGGCCTTTCTTCGACAACGCGGAGATCAAAGAAGCCAGGGATATGGAGCTGTGTCATGAGAGGACCACCACCAGGTTGCTTCGTAGAGACGCTGACTTCTCGGAGTCTGAATTGGACTCTCTGGTCTTTTGCCGGAGCCATCGGCTGAGCACTGATCATGTCGCTGGTACAGGCAATGTTCTGCGAGCGGAAATCAATAAGAATGGACGTGATGTGCCTCGAAGGATCACCAGCAACAGCAGTTGCCCACAAGCCAATGAGATGTCTTTGTTGGCACACAAGGTTTCTGTTCCACGGCAAAGACTTCATCATGATGATTCAAAAAGATTGAGGCCAGATTGTGCTTTGTAGAAGAGAAAGGCTGTCCATTCAACACTAACCAGCCATTGAAATGTGTATAATCATTCAAATCGAGCAGATTCATGACGTTGATCTTGAGCTTATGAGCAACAGCAGTGCAGAAGGTGTTGAACGTAGATGCTGTCTTGGATCTTTATCTGCGCATGATACCCTCACGTGGCTCTCTGGATAGTCGGTGTTCAATGAGACCTGATAGTCAGTCTGCTCATACGCATCATCAAAGCTTGTGAAGAGATTGGACGAGATGGCTGCAGCAGGAGACTTCATACCCACCGGAATTTTCGGCTTGTTCTTGCGGACCGGTGTGCCAGTTGGACCAGTTTGTTCAGTCATCTTCTTGTTGGTGGAACGCTTGATTGGTGGAGGGATGCGACGACTTGGATCTACTTCTTGTGCTGGCGGTGACTTCTTCTTCTTCGTCTTGCTTTTCTTTGCTGTTGCTGAGCGGGTAACACGTTGATCTTGAATCTCCTTGGTTGGCTCTGTTGCGTCTTCGCCAAACTTGCCGGTGTCGGTGTCAGCTTCTGTGCCCCACAAAGACTGCAGCTTTGAAGGACTGTCTTCAGTAGGATCCAATGACTCTAGTTGGGGCTCTTCTTCCTTTTGTTGGTCTGGAAACGTGTTGGTGATGAGTGCTTTCTGTGCTTGGGCGTACTGCTTGTAGTAGTCTTGTGGTTTCTCCTTTTTCATACGCTGCAGATAGTGGTACCTGTTCCTCGTTGGGCTCCGAAACTGGCCGCCGTACAACTCAGGACGAAGCTTAACAATATCGTCACAGGTAGACGACTTGTTTTCTTCGATGTCCTTGAATAGTTTTGCTTTGGTTTCGTCGGATAATGATGGCATGATGGATGAATGCTTCAAACAAAATGCATGAATCCAGACCGGAAATGTTCTTTGGCGTCAGATTTTTGTGATAAAGGTTGGTTCAAATTCATGGCCGGTAGGTGGAGAGTTGGCACCTAACGTGTCCTTTAAATACTCAAACTTATTATTTATTCATATCATTTATACAAGAGCAAGCAACTACTTTCTGTACTTAGAACACCGACAGAGCCGGCTATCGGAATGCAAACGTCATTGGGCGCCAGATCCTTTTCTGGTCATTTTTTGGCGCATTTCTTGCTTTGCTCTTGCTTTTTACAATAACCATTCCCACGACCACTATGTTTTCAGCACTCACCATGACCGATGACAATGATTTGGTTACGGAGACTCAGTTTTTGGAATTGGGCCTCGAAAAAGCAGGATTCAGCAAGCCTGATAGATACAAACCACATTGTGCTATTGAAAGGTTTTCCAAAGTGTATGGAGCATTGCCAGTCGTTTGTCAGGAAATGTGGAAAGATCTTTGTATGTCGAACCAAGTCAGTTTTCGCTACCGTCTTACGAAACATGACAAGAAGCAACCTCGAAACCTCTTGATTGGGCTTCGATTCCTTTGGAAGGGTGAAGACTTTACGGATTTGGGTCTATTCTTTGGCCTAAAAAAAGCAAGCCACGTGAGCAAGATTGCCAAGAGATGGGCAGGAAAAATTCAAAGTCTTCTGATTTTGAAAACAGGAAGGCTCGAGGATCATGTCAACAGCCCTCTCATGATGCCATTCTCTCTCGATTGCACCATGTGCCCCATGACCGAACCTAGACCTTTTTCAACTATTTGGTCAGCTTGGAAGTTTGGAGGCAAGCCCGGTCTCAATTATGAGATTTTGCTTTGCATTGACAAGCCAAAGCTTGCATGGGTCTATGGGCCTCTCCCGCCAGGAAGGTACAACGATCTTTCTACGTTTCGCAAGAAGCTTAAGAAAAAGTTTCATGATTTGTTCCAGGCAAGAGAATCATTGCAGACAAGAGCTATCTTGGCGAGGGAGAACTCATCAGTATGCGAAACCCTTTTGATCCAGAGGAGATCAAGGAGTGGAAAGATAGAGTTTTAGCACGCCACGAATCCTTCAACGAATCATTGAAGTGCTATGATTGTTTGACAAAGAAATGGCATCATGGTGTAGCAACCACAAGGTCGCATTCGAAGCTTGTTGTGCCGTGGTTTGCTACCATTTGGAGCACGACAAATTCATGCTGTTCGATCCTTACTACTAGCAACTAACAAAGTGTAGACAATGAGTTGATGAATAGAACTTGAAGACTACATTCAGTATTGTCCATCACCCATTCATCACCCTTTCATCATGGATTCATCACGGATTCATCACCATTCATCACCATTCATCACATTTTCAACACTTTTCAACACTTTTCATCACGGGTCGTCGTCAATTCATCACCCGTGACCCAGATTTTCATCACCGATTCATCACGGGATTAGAAAAACCGGGACTAGGAAAACGGTATTGATAACACGACTTAAAATTTTAATCACTTTTCAGCGTGAATGACATTTTTTCATCAACGGTAAGACCTTCCTGGTAGGAGTATGGTACGATGTACTTACATACTTGATCCCAATTCCGGTCCTTGCAACTTGCAACCAACCCTATCGATGATCGAGGTGCTCTTGATCTCTACCGGTACGGCTAGTCTAACTCCTTTGATCCTCCCCGCCCTCCTCCCTTGCCACCCTCTCCCATCCTCACCATAGTCCCCTCTAACCCATAGTAACTCCCCCGTTATAATGCACAGGATCGACAACTCCATCTTGCCGTACATCGTACCCTGACCTCGACTTCAATGCTCAGATATGAGGATGTAAACCCACTTCTCGCGTTAGAACCTGTATTATACGGGTAACGAGGGGCGCACTGTGCACACCAATGGCCACTCCAAACAGCAACCTACCCATGCCTGAGCGGCTTCTGTAGCCAAGTCCCATGCCTTATTTGTGTCCATCAGGAAGAGGATTCTCCCTAAACAACCCTGAACGGGTTGGTGCTTACGCGTAAAGCCCCTGCGAATCGAGTCTCCCGAACCGCTGCCTTGCGTTTGTGTGCCACTGCAGGTTTAGCTTCAACGAGCATGGCACCCTTACGGCTGATATCCGACGATGTTATCACGAGGCTGGATTGCGTAATCTTGCGGCTCGGGGAACGAATGGACCAATCTTCTCTGTTTTGTGAACAGACCGCAGCGATTTCTTCCAGGCGTTCCAGGATAGACAGATGCGCATGGAACGAATACTTCCTTATAACTTCACTCTCGTTGAATCGAATCGTGGCCTCTTTGGCTTCGGAGAACTGAGGAGGCCGAATCGAATCAGCCCCATCTAGCCGCGAAGCTTGACAAGTTCTCGCCAACCGAATTGTGTGTCAAGAGGGATGGATGATTCCGTGGCGTTTCGTCACTGCCGCGCCTGTTCGCGCCCGCTTCGTCCACACACAAGCGCATCCCAAGGAAACGAGAGCTTGTCATTCCAAGATGGACGGCGTTTCCTTTGACAGCACCATTGGCCTGCTTCGGGGACCTGCGTTGCTGAAGCCTAGGTCATAACGGGACGGCACCTGCTTCACACCGTCGCCCATTCTACTGCCACATGTGGTTGCAATGATGCTCTATTCGAGTGTCCAATCCTGCAAGATCGTGGTGGCATTTACCGTGGAAGGGCGACGAGTGACGAGCTAACCGAGAGGCTCCTCACAGTTGACAGGGAGACACTTGAGGCAAGCATGTACGATACCGTAGTCCGGGTTTTGCATTGAAGCAGCTAGGTGTGAAGATAAGATAGATACATTGGCTGGAAACCGTCAATTCTTCGTTGAACATCTCTTGTAATTGGCGCGATCAACAATACTCCGATACCTGTAGTAGACTCCTTGAGTAGAAACAGCCTGGAGCTGCAAGAGCTACTTTCTCCCACCAATAACATCATCTTTCCCTCCTGCTTTTTCCTGTTCGTCACCCGCAATGCTATCAAGGTACTCTAACACAACCTTGCAGATTTCATCATTCTCTATTCCCTTGTAGGCTCTCATTGCTGGACTCATACCTCGAATCGACTTGGCCAAACAGGCTGCTGCTTTGGGAGTATGCTCCAAGCTGCTCATGGGATCTGTCATGGTCTTCGCCGTAAACAGCAAGTATCCTGATGCTGGTAAGCGGCGAATGGTCTGATACTCCACTTTAAGAAAGATCCCTTGGACATCGGCACTTGTCATTGTCGAGGCGTCAAAGGAAGGACCCTCCTTATTGGCATGGTCAGTTTCTCCAAACAGCGGCTTGTCGAGCTCTCCAGATGGTGCCAATCCCCAGTTGTTCCTCCACATGGGGGACTCTGTCTTGAGTAATTTGTCAAAGGTCAGGTCCAATGTCCGACGCAATTGTTCCTGATATCCGGGCACTGGTGCATGGATAAAGGCAACTGGTTTTCCGAGTTTTTCTGCAAGCTGAAAGAAGCTAAAGACCACAGCTGCTGCAGACATGATGTACTGACTTTCCTCTGGTTGTTTGGGTTGTCTCATCAAGACGAGATCTTCCTGCACAATTCTTTCACAAAGTTCCAATGGCCGTTCTTGATAGTCATTGATGTAAAAGGTGGAGCCCAGTGGTTTAACATGAATGGTATTCTGCTGCTTGTTGTAGGAGTATAAGTCAGGATATCTCTGTGGCAAATATTGAAGAAAAAGTTCTAAGCATTCCTGCTGGGCTTTTATGCACATGTCATCGGACTCTGCCACAAAGACGGTCCGCTCGGGATCATCCAATGCCTTCTCCTTCAGGGCCAGTTCCTCTTGGAGCCGGAACGGTTCTTCTACCAGAAAGAATTTGGAGTCGCGTAGTCTCTTGAGACCAGCTCGCAGCATACCAGGAGTGTCTTGCCCGGAAATCCCCGCCTCCAGCCACCGTGCGGCCAAGGGATACTTGCCGAAGTGTGGGTGTGACGGGTCCACCCAGGATTCCAACAAATCCAGTGGAGCTGGAGGCAAATCATGGGCTGTTTCAACCAAAAAGTTGGATTCAGCAGAAAAGGGACAAACGGGGCCTCGGCTCTTCCTGTTGGTAGTCTCGGTTGTGGATGCAGTCTTTAGCTTGCCCGCCAAGCGCCTTTCATCCTGTTTGTTCCACCACCAAAGAAGGGCAACAGATACTGCGGCTACCAAAACCAGGACGCCCTTTCCCTCGCGTGGATTTTCTACCCACAGGGCCAAGATATCCTCCATTATTGTTGTCGACAGACTCTGAGATACTGCCCTCGAAATTGGACTTCGATCTGGTCGAAAGATCCTGGATCCTTGTCACCAGAATCCATTTTGGCCCCCTTTTTGGCCCCATTTTGTCCCCCTTTAACCCTGAGTGACAGTCCCTAACTCCTTCGTGAACCGTGTCCTCAGTCATGGAGAAAAGAGAAGATTTTGACGTCACTTCTCTTGGAAGCACGTTCTCGTTCCTCAAGCACGTTCTCCTTGGACTCGAAAGCTCTCACTCACCCCACATATGGAACCGATGAAGCACTGCCGGACAGGCCAAGCCTCAGCGATCATCACACAATAATAATTGACCTCTCCTCTTGATGTAGTAACATACCGGTAGACTACAATGGCCACCAAGCTTGAAGATGTCATCCTCCTCTACGGAGGCGATCTATCGTCCGATGTGGCTGAGCAAATCAGTAGCAAACTCTCGACGCTCCCCATCGACCCAACTCATGTGCACAGAATCAGCATGTCCAAGAGCAAAGAATTCAAGGCCGCCCTTCTCGAAGGTCCTCTTGCCAAACCATCCACACTAGCAATATTCATCGCACAAACAATCGAGAACGAATCACCACCCGAAGACGCCGGAGCGTGTGTACGATTCTTCAAACGAAAGACACACCCTGAAACTTTGCTAAACTCCAAAGTACAATACGCAGTACTCGGCCTGGGTGATAGCAACTTGTTACTCGATAGACAACACACTTCGGCCAAAGATTGTAATCAGGTAGCTCAAGCATTAGATACACGATTTGAGACATTGGGTGGACAAAAGTTTTGTGAACGTGGGGAATCTGACGAACGGACGGGATTGTCGGAGGTTGATCCGTGGATTGAGATGATTGTTGCCAAGATTAAGGATTGTCTGTGATGATATGGTGAGAGGCGAGGTGACGACTGTTGCAATTATGGCTTGTTGAAAGGACGTATTGATTTACTCGTACCGGTAGCAATATATAGACGACAGATGGATAATTATAATGCCTTTGCCGTGCCATCGTTCTTTATAATTTGGGTAAGTAAGATGGGCAACTAGTTGGTACCGTACAGCTTCGTCATTCGTCAAATAAGAGAGATGCAAGATGCAAACATCCACTGATTGAGTCTACTCTATACTTTCCATCGTGGGGTGAAACCTTGCTAATCAAATCCTTCTAAAACAGAACTAGTTTGTGTCATAGTACGTCGTATCGAATGACTGAGTTCCTCTACACGGCAGCTTACTATAGTCCACGGGACACCAATGGCCCACCAATCAGTGCTTGGTGTCTGCCCAAAAAGCAAAAGCATTGAGTTGGTCATGCTACCACAGTCTTTACCCAACGACGCTGGGGAAATGATCCCACACTAGTATGACCTACCACTCCACTATGATAGCTCTCGACGACTTGACTCGCGCGCGTTTTGCCGTTGTCCAGGCCAACATCATATCTTCTCGAGCACCTCAAGAGAGGCACATGCATGCAGGGACAGGGGGGGTTAGTCCAACAAAAATCCAATGCCAAGCCCCTGGGGCTCGAGCCATTGTGACCGCCAACTCGTCACTGAGTTTGAGGCGATGCAAAGGCATGATGATGTACCCAGCTCCAGTCATCTAGTCGTTTGAGCATTCCTTGCTATCTCATGAAAGACTCTTTTCACGGTTGTCGAAGAAACTCCAGTGACGTTGTCATTATAACATGTATGCTATTAATAAGCTACGGTAGACGTTTGATATTACAAGTGTTCCCGAACCGGAAACCCGTCCACTCCCGAACTACGAACTAAGGCATATCGGGTGCAGAGAGCCCACGTCGAAGTTCGTCGGCATCAAACCTCAATGTCTTGACTCGGCATGATCTCAGTAGTCGTAACATTCTTGGTAGTGGGAGATCCACGAGGCAGCAAGTGGCCAATCTCCACCTGATCACCCTTCACTCCATATTTGGATTTGCACTCCTCAAGGAACTCTGCCACCACAGATTCACCCTTCAGTGCCCACTCCTCGCGATTCTTTTGGGCATAGTTCAAGAACTCATCACTTGAGACACCAAAGACTCCACAGTCCTTTAACTTCTGTGTCAATGGGATGATATAGAAATCAAAGAAGCCTAAATTAAAGAAAGAATGGCACAGGCACCTAGTAAGCACAACAGCCAGTGTCTTTTCTCTGCATAGAACTAGGGAGCGGGCTTACCAAATTCGCCATTGTACCAAAATTCAGAGGGATTCTTCTCCATCCTTCCATTCAAGTAGGCTACGTAAAGCTCCTCAAACAGCTTCTGATTCCATTTCTAAAAGCAGAGGAAAAACCGATGCGCATCTTGAGTTCCTAATTATTGACTAACAGCAAACCATAGCACATCCTGAACAACACCTTACCTTGTAGACTTGCCAGTGCTGCATTGTATGTGAGATATCTGAAGCTTGGATGATGTGTTCAATAATGATAATGGCTTTCCTGTTGACAGCATCCCTATTGTCTTCTTCAAGTTGACCTGTGCTGGCAAATTCACCTGTCTTGAAGGCCTTGTCCCACCTGCGGTTCCTTAAAGCCTTCAAATCCTTGTCAACAATGTCCGTCTACAAGCAGTATTATTGAAACGTGTTAGCAGCTGCCAATGAAATAAATGCAGCATGACAACATCTGCAACTACTTACTGCCATGACAGAATTCACGACAAGGTCTTGGAATCGGCTCAGATCAGAGCTGGTCTCAAAGAGGAAAGATCGGAGCTCAGCGTATTCATCATCCATCAAGAGCTTCCAGGAAATTTCTAAAGAGTTCTACAATCATAGAGAAGAGGCATAGTTAGTCCCCACAGTGTAACTGTGGCTACAGATGCTGCCACTGGCTCAACTCTACCTGCTCTGCAACACTCCTCTCCTTGTACTTGGCAGCAATTGAGCCTCCTTCCTTGACAAGCTGGGCATTGGACACCCCCACATGGTCTATAAGAGAAGTTGGTAAGGACAACCACAACAGTAGACGCGGAGCTCAAAGTAACAATAAGTACTCACCAACATCATGGATCAACGCTGAAAATGCACAGGCGAATTGGGTAAGAGGATCTGACGTGATGCCATAGGTGTGGCTATAGATAAAGAGTTGTAATGACGTTCATTAGTGAGGTCTCAAATATCAATACCAAACCATGCGGACAAGCAATGGCAAGAACTTACTCATGAAGCTCAGCAGCAGACTCCAGGAGGACCAACTGGTTAGGGGCAATGATTCTGCAGAAAAGAAAGGGAAACACGAGGGTCAGACACCTGGGAGGATTAGGAAATTGCGTGTCCTTTGTGATTGATGAAAATGCTTACCTTGACATTAGCTTTGTGACACTCATTACAACATGACTGTAAAGGGGGTGGTGAGCTCAAGAGTGGAAGAATCGCAGATGTGAATAGCAGCTGCTGGCCTACCTGGCATGTTCAAAGTTATGGACTGCCAGTTTGTTAAATGAGATCGGATCAATGAGATATCAGTGCACTTGCTTTGTATACATGGTTGTATCTCCTCGTCGCTGAAACTTACATGGATTGGCATTGTAGAGTGTGGATATGACGCTCACAAGGTGGTGCAGTTGCATGACAATCTCATCAGGTATTTCCACTGTCTTAGGTTCTGCTTGCTTGTCCCTGCTCCTTTTGCTGTCAAAGGCGGGAAGGTGGATGATTTCTTTGACAGCTTCTAGTGGCACCTCATTGAGATGACACTGCCAAGCCGAGGTCTTTGTTAGTGCCGGCTGAGATGTGCGACCAGCAACGATTTGTCTCAAGATTCGAAGTAGTGACTCAACATTCCAGTCAATAAGTCGGCTGGTCTTCTCATCCAGTCCATGGATGCTCTTGTTATAAGATGCAGTAGGAACAAGCTTCTCATTGCTCAGCACATTATTTGAATGGACACTGCCAGCACGGTCGTTACGCACAGTAACCCAGAAGGTTTCAAGGCGGCCTGGCAAACAGCAGCAGAGCATGAGGAAAGCTTTTTGACTGGCAAACACAGCCACCCATATAACCCAGTTACTGGCAGTACCTTTTCCTTTTAGTTCAATAGGCTCCGGCCTCTTTTCAAGCCAGGACTCTTTTCCCGCTGTCTTAATGAGCTCTGCTGTTTCTTTGGAGCAATGAATCCTGGATGACATGCCAGAACCCTCAATTCTTCCACAGGTGTTGACAGTCTGCAAATGTTGACAATGACAAGAGCAGAATCAGCCACACAGTCAATGCAAGATTGCATTGTAAATGCGTCCATTAAACTTACATCGCCAAAAAGCTGGAATCGAGCCCGTTCCCCACGAAGGACACCAGCTGTCACGGGGCCAGAGTGAATGCCTGCATGATTGAGGGAAGAGTGATGACCTGAGTCTAGCCAAATCGGAAGGGAATAGGACTCTGTGGACATTACCACTTACCAATCCTGAGCCCGAGGTCACCGGTGTCTGGGCCCAAAAGCACCTCAAGCTCTTTGGTCAATGTGTTCATCCTTTGCAAGATATCTCGCCCAAATTTTGCCATTCCTACAGCATGGTCTTTCCTGGGGTCTATAAAAATTTTGCAAGGAGTTTGTGAGATTGATCCCAAAAACCGCTGCGTACAAGGTTGCACCATTCATATCGATCTTACAAGGCAAACCGCAAACAGCTGAAAGCATTTGATACAGTGTTAGCAAGATGATAGCCTGCAAGCAATACACACATTAAAATACCTCACTTGCCGACATAACAGTCTCCCACAGTTTCCACTGAGAATAAGCATTCAGACAAGGTACCAATGAGAAACAAAATGTCACAAAATAAGGGAGCTTAGCACGCATACAACACCTTACCTTTGAAAATGCGGCGACGGTGAGCAATCAGATCAAATGCACCATAAAGAGTTTCCAGCAGAAGAAACACTTGTGATGGTTCTGCACATTATGGTAATGAACAATACAGGCAATGAGACAGGCATAGAACATTTGTTGCTCGCAATTCTTTAAAATTGATATTGGCCTTACCTCGGACAGAACTCCAAGCTGTGGCAATGAATGGAAGGGTTAGCAAATGCATCCCTGACTAAACAAACTAACCATCTAAGCCTTACCAGTAAAGCCTGATATGTCTGCAAACAGAACCTGTCGTCCAGTGGTTATGACATGAGGTCTCAGCATTGACAAAAAAAATTTAAAAAGAAAAGCAGAGATTCACGCACCGTTGTCTCAAGGTACAGGTCTGCCAGAGGAGCGTCATTGATATCAATGCTCTTCGCTGTCAGCTCCATACCATCATTCAAAAACACAGCTGCCTTTGACTTGATTTTCTGTTGAACTGACTGCTCCTGTTTGGCTTGATTCATCAAGCGGTCTCTCATATGATCGGGGAACAAGGAGGTCACGATACTGTTACTCTGAGCAGCCTTGTGGATGAGGTTGGTGTTCCTCCTTTGCTGCATCATGTCATAGATAAAGAAGGAGACCGCTACAAGTGCAAATGTTACTGCAATAACTGCTGCAAAGATTTCGGGTGTGTTGGTGTCGTAGAGTTCTCGGAAGGTTGTGCTTGGGTATATATGCTGCAATGGGAGGCAGATGAACACGCGTACATGTGAGATAATTGGTGAGCTGACCAGGTCCACAGAGGCGCGACATGTGTTGAACTGACCATGGAGTAATGGCAGGGTCCACCTGGGCCACTCTTAACATACTCTCTGAAATGAGGATGAGTAGACAAGTCCAGCCTAGCTTCTACTTCCATTTTGTCAAAATCTGGTTCATGGTGATCCCCAGGTCCAAGGTAGAAAGCATCACGTCCCACAATGTTGTACCTACATTGAGCAAAAGTGGTGATGAGTCATGTATATCATCTTCTTTCTCCATAGAACACTGTTTCAGGCAGACAATCGCTTACGAGTAAGTTTGATTGCATGTATTCCTGATGACCACATGGATTCCTTCCACTCCCGTAGGTAGCAAGTTCAAGAAAGATGCATCCCAAGCCATCGCCCCAGAAAGTATTGCAGCAACACCTGAGCTCTTATTGCCAGGCTTTGCATAGACTGGGTGCATATAAATGGAATGAGGATTAGACACGTTAGAGTTTTTGAGCTTGGAGTGGTACGTGGCATGCTCTTCGGCTGAAAATGAAATAGGGATTCCAGGGTGTCTTCTGACTTGCGAAAAGATAGTCTCATTTTGCAGTTTAAACATGGCAGCAATAAGTTGTGGTAGAATGCTTTCAGCATTGGCATTGATGATGCTGTAGGCGGCTGGGGGAGGACTGTATAACCACACCGGGAAATAGTAGTCTCGAGGTTCTGGATCAGGAATGACCCCCTTGGGAGTCAACAATGTCATGTTGTTGTTATAGGTATGTAGACCTCCTTTGAGTCTCTCAAGAGATCCCATTTGCTGCATGTGACCCTCAATCACCCAGCCCTTGTTCCTGTTGGCATAGTCTAGCCAGGCATCCTTCTGGTCAGCTCTCACAAATGGACAATAGACAAGCGTCTCAATGTGGGCATGCTCCATGATGCCAGGGGCTATAGTCTCATATGCAGGGAGGGTGACAAATGGGAAGGACTCGTTGTTCTTGTCACTATTGGCCCAGACAGAGATGAAGTTTCCCAGCTCATCCAAACCATCTTTCAACTCGTACATTTGCTTCACGGCATTCTCGCTAAGAGTACGAGAAAACTGCTGGAACTGTCATTGTCAAGGATTTACCAGCGGTGAGTTCACCCATTCTCTCATTTCAGGGCAAAAAAGCAGGAACTCCTGCTTTACTGTAACTTACGGCAGTCTCAAAATTGTTCTTCTCCTCTCTCTTCAGTAGAGTGTAAGTGGTGTAAGTCACAACAAAGGCAGTAACCAGCAGGGCAGCAGTAGCCACCAAACGCCAGAGCTGGACACTTCTGGTGTCCTTCTTGGCCATCTTTTGGACCTCCTTGATCTCATCTCTCTTCACAGGAACTGGGTCATCATGAGTTGTTGTAGTGGAAGTCCCGATGCCATCGTTGCAGAAGCTCAAGGAAGCAGAACTAACAGACACGGCATCATCACCACTCGGCAAACCATCAGGTGTTGGTCCAGGGAACTTCATGGTGGCAGCTTGCTACTTTGCTATATTGGAGACTGTTTCACCAGATAATGGGGCCGAGTGTGAGCCAGGGAACGACGTCAATTGAGTGCAGAAGATTGGGTTGGACGATAAGGACGGCAACCTTGCAAGCAAGTGCATGCAGTAATGGCTTTCCCCATGTGAGTGCACGGAGAAACTTGGGGGCTTGACCATTGATGCCAAGCCCATCCCAACCATCTGGTACAGCTTCGTCATCAGAACTTCGTAGTACGACCATCGAAAAATGCATACAGTACCACCGAAGCAGCTAGACTACCAGACCGGTATTGCGGCAAAAGGCAAAAGAGCTCAGCTTTACTTCCGCAGGTTGAAGGATCGATGCCGATCGAGCTGGAATATTCTCGGGAAACTTCAACTCTTAAGCCATTTTGAGTTGTGGTCACAAATACATGTTTACAAGGCAGCTTGTCAGGTTCTCCTTGATGATGCCGAAAAAGAAAAGCCACTTTTTCCTATATTCTTGAGTATTCTTGCCGTGAGAAGTTGGGATGCTTTCCGGTGTGAATTGAAGCCGGGGTTTGGATTTTATTACAGCAGTAGAGTTTAGAGTAGGCAGATTATCTAACTACTATAGTAAAGGCTGTGGTATGACAGGCGCTTTCTTCTTATCTTGTCGTGGGAAGAGAAAAGTTAGTTGATACGCACCAGTACTGGTGAAACTCTACCGGTATTTGGATGGACATGAGGGCCAGTTCAAGTTCCCGTCATCGCACCTCCTTTGACCATTATGAAATCACTGCGGAATCGAATCGAATGGACTACAGTAGCCAGCACAGGATGAGCAACCGAGGACTGATGACGGAATCTGTGGCCAGTAGTTACGGGAGTTGCGGGGAATGGGCTCTTGAAGCAGGTTGTTTTGGTTGGTCACAAGAAAGTTGAGTTAATCTTCCACTTTGAGTCATGCTTCCGAATTGCATCAAGCTTCCAGATTGTGTCATTCTTCCAGATTACGTCAAATAGTACTGATCTCTACGCGTTTTACGTAGGGCCTTCCAGATTGCGTCATTCTTCCAGATTGTGTCATTCTTCTATTTTCAGTCATTCTTCCAAAAGAAACGTGGAACTGCCTGCGGAACATATAAAACAGGTATTCCCGCAACTCCACGGCAACTGTGTCAGGATCGACGAAAACGAAGTCAAGTCAAAGTGGTTGGATCTGCTTCTACGGCAACCACAAGAACAGTCGACCGCCGAGAGCACAAAATTCATCCACCACTAGACTCTAGAGACTACTGCCCGCAGCTGCTACTGCTACAACTTCTATTCTTAAAAGAAGAGTGTCAGCACAATCATCTGCTGATTCATTCCGTGAAGAGTTGGTCTGTTTGATTGAGACTCAGTCGTCAAATATCGGTACAGTACCGGTACGCTGTACTGTACATTCCTTCAGACTAGCTAGGATCACTGCAGTCAAGTCAGACTTCCGTCAAGTCAGACTACCGTCAAGTCAGACATCCTGTGGCTGGGCGACATGGTCAGCGACTGTGCAATAAAGTGGTTGACCGACAAGGAAGGTGCCGACTGAACTACCAGTACTGTTACGGCGTTGCGGCCACAACAAGAGCCGGTATGACGACAACAGCGACGTCTACCAGTACTGCTACCGCTACGATGACGACAAGAGAAGTCTAGTTACTACATGTACGGACTGCTGCCCATTATCGGTACGGTAGTACCTGTACTGTACCATTGCTGTGACTGCCACCATGGCCACCAAGACACTACATGCACGGATTCGATTGATCATTCGTAAAATTAGAAATGTTTTGGCTCAATTTCATAATCCATAAATAAAATTTGAATTTGCCACGATTTGAGCATGTTACTTGGCAAAATCGTGGTGACTCAAGTCAAGGTGCTTTGACAGCTTATCTGATTTAATCTTGGATCTTTTTGGCTTCGCACATGCATTCTCACCTGTGAGGGTTCGGTCGATGAGAGTCTGAGCTCAGTGGAGTCGAACCTACAATGGTACCTGTACATCGTATTTAGTAGTCTACCTGCAGAGGTGTGATAGAGGAAGAGAAAGGGAGATTCAATCATTCCATTCGATTCGATTCATCATTCGATTCGGTGGGGAGAGCAAGACTGCGGAAAGTTTGACAAATGAAAATCCTCTCCTCCACTTATTCGGCAATATTAGTCTTTTCTGCCATGGTTTCTTCCGTCAAGGGGTTTTCGGAATGTCAACGAGTGGATGTTGTTGGGAAAGGATGGACCAATATGAGTGACTTGAAAGTGG